TCAGACTAGTCCAATATTCTATTCAGGGGTTCTAGGCTGTTGTCAAATCTGTAGAATTTGTGTCCAGAAACCTCCAGACCACCCTTACCAGATTTTCGACCCATTAGAAACATGATTAGTTGATTTCAATCGATAATTAATACTAATTAGTAAAAATCAATATCCTATCAATATCGATCAGTGATTGAGTCACCCACAATAAATAGTTCAATAACCTATCTCTTTCTTTTGTTCTCTTTTATTGGCCACCGTTTATTCAACTTATATCCCTTTGATGTTTACCGCACTGTGGTATATCAGGGTTGTGGATCGAGATAGCGGGCAATATATGAATACGTATGAATCATATGGTGATTCGGAATTACGGAAGACAACAGATCACCTTTGACTGAATGAGGTGAGGGGGTATTTTTTTTACCTAATTTTGAGGTAAAGAATATGAACTGGTAAGCAAGACTTGCGGTATCCTCTTAAACAAAATGATTGTTAAAGCACGTTTAAGTGTAGACTTTATTAATTTCTTGACCGTTGACTCGTCTGCTAAACGATTAGGTGCCGAATCCTATTAGAGGTTATAGTGGCCGCAGTGCTTCCGAAATTATTTGTCGACTTTCAATCCTTATCACTAACGACTCTAGAAGTCGATCGTGGAATTTAAAGAGTAGGTCTACTGCCTACTTTAATCCAAAAGCTATCAAAACTAATTTAGATATAAGCTTATTGATTAGTTTAAATGTATCGAATCAGAGCTGAAGAAGGTTTTCAGATCTTATTGAGAAGTGGTGATTTATAGAAGATATCATAAATCACAAATTTTCAAAGAGCGTGAGGGAAGCAACTCCATTTTTCTACCTCATTAATTAAGTAAGGTCAATGCGGACGTGATTCCCTCGAAACCGAACTGAATTGAAATTTGTTACAGTTTGAGCTATGAACTATTTTTCCAAATTGTCCATTCGCAGAACAGATTTAGGAAATGTAGACAATTTTCTGTGTTCTCCAGTGGGTTAGGCCAACTATAGCCTTCCTGTTTTATGAAATTTGTGTGGGGCCTACGCCGTAGCTGTCACGCCTTTTCAGTTTTCAGCAAGGCGATAATTCTAGATCTTAGCTCTGGTCTTTTCGCCAGCTTTGTAGAACTAATCCATGTAGTTGGCTTGAATCAGAAAGAATCGATGAAACATTGTTGGTTTAACAGAAACATTTGATTTGCATGTCACTCTCAATACAACACTTTCTTCTAATCAATCAGAAATGGCGCCAAATTACCGACCTTGTTCGTCATAGAATCCAACCTCGTGTCGTCTGGTGTTAATGGCGGGAATTTGTTACCACGATTAAATGAAGTGAAAAATCGATGGTCAGAAGTAAATTTGATTGTTACAAGGCGAGGGTTTATCAATATTTGTTGTATTTCATCATCATCAAAATAGAAAAAACAGAAACTTCCAGTGATGGGAGATTAATGAGATAAGCGAGGTCATAGGCCCAATGGTGCAGAATCATGTGAGCTCTAGATAGGAATAAGCTATAGATATACAGATCGTATACATGTATATCGTAGGCCAAGCCCGTCGCCAGGAATGAATTGGTGCTGGGGCTCAAATTTTGAACTTAGACAATTTGAAGAATTACAGGCACAGTGGACTCATTTCTGACTATTTTGAGGTGGCAAAAACGTATCAAAAATCTATAGCCTATTTGATTTTGTACAGACATTGTAAATGAATAAATCTTGCTGGGGCCCAGCCCCCACGGACCCCCACGGGGCTGCATAGGCCGGATTTGGGGCGACCAATAGTAAAACTTTGAACATTGTAAAGGTCTCTTATTGGAACTTTCTCATTTTGCATCTATCTGGGCTATTTAGGTAGCCTATTGGTCATTTTGCTATGCATATAAACTTATTAAAACACAAAAAGTGCATGGAATTTGAAAGTGCCCCACTCCACTTTCATTCGTTGAATGAGCCTTCCACTACGGCATGATACTGATTGTCAAACAACTAATTGATTGTGAAATATTATTTCCCAAAAGAAATGATGAATTTACACACCTCGTGATGAAAGTTTCACAATTTTTTGATTAGATCCTAGAAGGCAGACGCTGGAACTCTAGAACGTGACAGTAAGGTTATGAAAATGATATAGCTTATTTCCGATTCTATATTACGAACTTAAACACTTGATGATTCATATGGTAAATGATTTATTAACGCATATTACCAAACAGAATGGATGGGGTTTAAGGTTGAGTGCCGTCATGCATTCGGAAAGTATCGTAGGCCTAACGTCGGCAAAGGAGCCATAAATATTCACTGTTTCATTTATTTTGGGTCATTTCAAACAATATTTCGAGGCGAGGTACACGTTCCGTACTCTTGGTCTCTGGGAAACACACGGACAGACTAGTCTTGGAACCAATAGATCATAGGCCAAGCCTGTAGCCCAGGTAACAGAATTTAGTCTCGGATTATCTCCGAGAATTCCACATCTGAAGTCTATAGTTAGTTAGAAGGCTACTTAAAGTTACTTGTCCAACTGACAAAGAAAATAAATCCCACCAAGATCAAAGGAGAAGAAACAGACGAAATAACCACCGACTGAAATGAAAATCATGGCGCGGAAATGATCGTCTGGAAGATTCCGAGGTTCCCCGCCAAAATAATTCAGCAGACGATGTTCAGACCGGAAGTTGAAAGATTGCTACCATTATCTATTAAATGTTTTTGCTGATTTGAGGCTTGTTTTCGGTCTAGACGAGAAACTGTTACGTTTTAAATCATAACAATTTAAAACCCATCTTAAAGGAAGACAAAACCGTAACGTTGTCATTATCAAAATCCAACCCGAAGTAGCCCCGAATTGGTATTGATGACAATCTGGCCCATAGAAAATAGGAATTCAGATTGGTTCATTTGATTATAGGCAGACTGCAGTGAGAAAATAGACCGTTATTAATTAACTATCTCCTAGGTCTATTTGCTATACAAACTGATATAGGCCTACTTGCACTTTTTTCCTAGCAATTTGGTACTGAATATTTCTCATACGAATTGTTTGACTGATTCAAATATGCCGCTCAAGTTTGGGCCTGATCAAAACCAATCATAAAGGACTGGCCACGTATTCTCGAAACGATCTTAGCGCTAGGATGTCCTAGAATCAAAGTTAGAAGATAAGAACCTAGGACATCCTAGCGCTAAGATCATTTCGAGAATACTTGGGGTTTGCAAAAGTGAGACACCGCGACTATTCTCTTAGATCTATATTGTTTTGTTTCTGTCCTAAATTATCTACGAAGGGAGTTGTTTTTTATCGATAGAAATTGATGCGGCTTTTATTGCCGATGATCAAAGAGCTGAAAGCTTTTGATGTTGCCGACATATGTAGACATCAAAGAGACCGACAGACCAAGTGAATAAATCAGGGTAGGTATTATCAATAGGCTTAAAAATCGATCATGACCATTCGTCTATCTTGTTATTTCTATTTGAATGCTTATAAATCGGCGATTATAGGTGATTGGGGCTGGGTTGTGATCGATCGTTTTGCTACTTCTGATCGAAACATTTCCAGGTTCTTTTAAGTTTAATTTTGACTTGGCGAATACAATCTTGGTTTACCAATAGCCCGATACATGCTCACCTTTCCAGCCTTTGGTAATTATTGTAGGATTATCGGCAGGCACCGCGGGGTCAGTGAAAATAAAGTTAAACTAAAGCTAATCTGACATGCCCCACGCCCATTGTTTTGAACTATCTGACCAGAATTCAGGGCCAGGGATAATCACAATAGCCTATGTGGCCCATATTATTACCTTGCCCTGTTTTCATTGACTGTCGAAATTATCAAGTCGAATTATTCGCCTTATCTTGTTTCACTTTTCAGTCAAAATCGCAGACGAATATGGGCAATGATCAATGTCATTACAAAGGGACGTTACTCCATGTAATTAGGCTACAGTAGAGACAACAATTAAATCGGATGTAAGGACACGCCTATTCTACACTGAGCCCCGGTAAATCCTAATCCATTCTATAACCACCAACTCCTCGAACTTTACATTATCCCAAACTACCTTTGAAATACCTCGTCTGCTCGTGCCCCACCCCACTTTGGTCGCAGCCCCAGGGGTTAAAACATCATACAGGTCGGAACCCGAAGCAGGGGATAAATTCATGCGTGTCCTGAAATATGAAAGATTCATCAGGAATCAAAGAGTAAGTTAATTGACTTAGTAGAAAGTTTTCAAATGAAAGACTGAGAAAGAGATAAAAGACTTCAGAACTGAAGATGAAAGAGGGTATGATAATTGATTGTTAAAAGACAAGAAGGTTAATCTGGGAATTTCTATCAAGATCAATTCGATGATTCCTGTATTTTTCTCACCTGTAATTACATTTACCTTTACCTGTATCTTAAATTCTTAATTAAGATGTTCTGAAAATAACCACATTATAAAGTTATGATGACTTGTTATATGGATATTTGAAATGAAATTAAGTTTTGCATTAAACCTAGGGTCGGTGATTCTTGTCGTTTTCACTTGTATTTATAATAACCTGTATAAAATATAATTTTCTTATTATTAATTCATGATTAAGATGTGTTTTGTGATAACTCATAATAAATATATCTGAAGTGAAATGGCTCTAATGTTAAATCCCCGATACCGTAAAAATGACAGAAGAGCAAAAACAAGAATTATCAGAGAAAAAATCTTATTAATTGCCTTTGAAAGTGAAAACTATTGCGTTTTGTTTCAAGTATTATCTCTGAAGGCTTTGCCTACTGATCTAACTTTGATGTATCCGGATAAAAGCCAACATAAAACACCAGCTTGCCTTTGATAAAAAATATCAAATTTGAAAAATTTCATCAAAAATATTTTCAGTTGACTTGCCAAAAAGCAAGGCTGAATGCAGGAAGGAGGGCATCATGTTATAATCTTGAAATTAAAGTTGAATTATTTGAAAAGACAAGAATATCAGATATCATTTACCATACTATTTTAATGTGTGGGCCAACTGTTGTACTACTGTCTAGGTCAACTGGTGTATTAATGTCTGGGCCAACTGTTGTACTGATGTCTGGGCCAACTGTTGTAATGATGTCTGGGCCAACTGTTGTACTGATGTCTGGGCCAACTGTTGTACTGATGTCTGGGCCAACTGTTGTAATGATGTCTGGGCCAACTGTTGTACTGATGTCTGGGCCAACTGTTGTACTACTGTCTAGGTCAACTGGTGTATTAATGCCTGGGCCAACTGTTGTACTGATGTCTGGGCCAACTGTTGTACTACTGTCTAGGTCAACTGGTGTATTAATGTCTGGGCCAACTGTTGTACTGATGTCTGGGCCAACTGTTGTACTACTGTCTAGGTCAACTGGTGTATTAATGTCTGGGCCAACTGTTGTACTGATGTCTGGGCCAACTGTTGTACTATTGTCTGGGCCAACTGTTGTACTGATGTCTGGGCTAACTGTTGTACTGATGTCTGGGCCAACTGTTGCACTATTATCTGGGCCAACTATTGTACTGATGTCTGGGCCAACTGTCGTACTGATATCTGGGCCAACTGTTGTACTGATGTCTGGGACAACTGTTGTACTGATGTCTGGGATAACTGTTCTACTATTGTCTGGGCCAACTGTTGTACTATTTCTGGGAAAACTGTTGTACTATTATTTGGGCCAACTGTGCTGTATAAGGGTAAACTCAATGAAGGCACTGGCCGAGGCCACAGAGCAATGGACAATGTTATTGATTATGTGAGACGAGATGTTCTGCTGTACTATTGTCTGTTTATAGAAACGCCCTTATAATCGCTAAATCTTTGTGGAACCATTAAAGCGATTCCGAAGCTAGTTGGAAACGAGCTTAAATCAAAATAAAAAAATAATAAAATAAAAGAAAACAAGAAAATGAGAAAGTCACTTTAAGCCTGTAATTGGATCTTCAACAAAATTTTCTTGGAACTCTTCTGTTTTTCAGGCAAAATAAAATATAAAATTTCTTTTGAACTGGTGCCTTTTGAAATGTATTCTTTAATCCAAAATGGCGTAAAGTTAAAAGAAAAATTCCACATCAGAAGCGATGGTCGTTTGTAGTTCTATTTCATAAAACGTTTTCAATCTTTGATATTTTCCTCATCTTCTTTGAAGATATTTTTGTCAAAGATTCTGATATTTTCTGATCTGTAAAAGAATGGCTGTTTTCGAGGAACAAACCCCATGCGGCCATGTTTATATTTAGATCATAGATCATACCTCTGGGCCAGTAATAAAATATCTAAATAGCGCAGGACCAAGTGGCTCATCGCTTATTAAACAACCACACTGGATGCAGTAGTTAATATCAACCAATGAAAATCAACATTTTGGGGCCCCACAATGCTAGACGGGCTTCTGGTACTGATACATGTATTACCTCCAAGACTTTCACACGTGTTATCTTATTTACAAAACCAAACCGTATGTTGGATTTGTGTTGATTGGCCGGTTTGATAATAACGTGGAATCATGAATTGGACTACTTCAGTCATAAATGAACTATGTATTTCTAGTTCATGTCAGCTCTGATCATTCATTTCGGACTTTCATATCTAATCAAGTTCGCCATTTACGTGGGTTGAATTCGGCCTTGAATTTTTGTATATCATCTTCAGAAGTACTAGAAATGTACGAAAATAGCATAATTCGTTCAATAATACCTCCACTAAGGAATTTCACTTTCTTATCTATGTATGTCTTTTCTATATGTGAGACAGGATAATTCTGGACACACAAAGTTGATGGCTCAAATTTAGACAATGAACTGTGAACACTATTAGTGATCGGCTTAGTTCTTAGTTTCCTGTTTCTGAGACTATGGTACTATTTGTCAAACCTTTCCCTTTAACGATTGTTGAACGCCTATCCGACCTTTTTGGTCTTTCCATTCCAAAGTAAGAACATCACAGTCTATTTCTCTATGGAAATACTCATCAAAGGATCATCAAACCATTCAATTAATTTGGTACCATCCCTTAATTGGCGACTTCCTTTGATCTACACCTAGCGGCACCTTTGATGTTCCAATACACAAGGTGATTAGTTATTTTTATTCCTTTCATGTTGCTCGTAAACGATTTAGAGAGTATTTCCAAGCTTAAAGAGAAAGATTAAAAATAAGTCTTCAAAAAATTTACAATTCATTTAACTTGGTCCTTCATTAATAATTTATTAACAAAAACTTCAAATAGTTCCTGATTTTACAGGTTCGGCAAGATCAAAGAAGTAATTGTTTACTATTTCTGACAGTTTCTAAATGACGATTAAATAGTCACTTTGTTTTGAAATGAAGTACTTGTATTACGTTTGAATTTTCTGTACCTTATTTAGATATTGGAATGAAGTAATACGCCCTTCTTTTCTGTACATGCCATGTCCCCCTATCTCACCATTCCTCTACCCTCAGATTACTGATCAAGTACTGTTACCCCCCAGCCCCCCTTCAAAATTCCGAGGCCCCTCCATCCAATGTTTCATAGAAACGCCCCTGATCACAGCCTACATCACCACAACCGTTCTTCCCCGAGTGTGAAAGAGAACATGTTGCTTTGTCAATTTAAATAGAATTCACTTATTAGAATTGAAAAGTTGGAAACAATTTCATTACAGTTCACTAAAAACCATATATCTTCCATTATTGACAAAATAACACCAAATCAATTTCCCGCTCTTTTCATCTTGTGCTCATAAAACTTTTTAACAGAAGCAGAAGTGAAGCAAATTACATGAAATAAAACATTATTTCTAGCAACAGGCGTCTCGTGTTCTGGAGAAAATTGTTATTTTTCTTGATTCAATTTAGCGGATTGATTTCGATGCAGTTGAATATTCAGATAAAATGGATCGCTTCTATTGCGATATGATAGCTATAATTTGACCTGCCAGAATCCCGTCTCCGCATCAAGACTTGTCATAGAGTTTAGATGATTTATTGAAACTGGTCTTTCCCTGTCACATGATTCAATAAAACTTTCAGCTGGGAAAAAGTTTACAATATGCTGAAAGAATCCATACAAAAGCGATAAGTTCCATCCTTTCTTTCAACTCCCGCTGTAGGGACTGTTCGTGGTAAAACTATTAAAAACTATATTAGGATTTAAGTTTAGATATTTGGAAATGACTTTTCTATCGATTTCATAATCATGTTTATAAAAATTTATGTCACTTCAGAGAATTAGTTTACACAAGATCTTTATGAGGGAGAAACAGCTGACTTGAAAGAAGTTGTTTGGTTTTATATCAGGATATAAAGATAAATAATGGGGCAAGATTTTGCAAAGGAAGATTCATGGGCCTTTACCAGCAGCTACAAAGGGATACAATGATAAAAATCACCCTGCCTAAAAATCAGGTAAAATACCAACTGATATTAAGATACAGAAAGGGGCAAGATTTTGCAATAGCCTTACTGGCCAAAGCTAGAAAGAATTTAAGAGGGTTAACAATTAACATCACACTGAGTAAATCATCGGATATAAAGATATAGAATGGGACATGATTTTCAATAGACGTTTTAAAGACCTTAACCAACAGCTAGAAGGCGATTAACAAGGTTAAGAATAAAGACAGGGTGAAATATTAACAACAATATCTGGTTAAAAAGATTTAATATTGAAATGATATAAAATATACTAAAATAACAAATTATCCAGAACAAAATACATTATCAGATTGACAAGTTCTACAATACATAATGCATACTTATTAATACAATGTTTCAATTTCAGCTCAATTTTTGCTGCCGTCATTGAGAAGATTGTTTTATTTTTCATGTAAAAGGTAACAGATTTTAGTAAGCCAATTAAATTCTTCTGTTGGTTTCTTTGTCTTGGACAAATTTAACTTTTTGAAAACAACTCGTTATAAATTCTTCATCATATTTATGTGCCAGAGCAGTTTCAAATCTAATTATTTCATTCTAACATTTGACTAAATATTTAATGCTTTATATATTTTCATTATCAATCAATTGCCAAAAGAAGTTCTTAATCTAAGTATTTCATTAAAAAATAGTTGGCGACTATACATCTAATGAGAATTAATTATTACAAAGTTGAATTTGATCAAGTTTCAGTTGAAAAATGTATCTAAATATGAGTAAAATATATATTTTAAACTTGCAGTGATTAATATTTAAATTGAGCAAGCAAATAAATAACCTACTGAAAGCTTTGTAGCACAATTTGAACGAACAAACACAATCGAAACCCAAGTCAGGGCTGCTGTTTCAGGATTCAGAGTCAGACATTTGCACATAAATTTGAATTTCCAACAAATTTGCTAAAATGAATTAACAACTTTACTGATAATGTTTTACAAAAATTTAGAATTTAGCTAATGTTTAACTAAGAAAACTAAATTCACAGCCTTGAAAATTCTTGAAATCTTTCCCTTTGATTCTCACACCTGTGAACCCGTTTCCTTTAAATAATATTCATTTATTTGGTCCCCATTCAAAAGATTTCAAAAAAAATTGTATGCATTTGAGTCCAGATAAATGTTACAAAAACAATTACAAAAGACAAACATGTACCTATAAAAATATTTGCAAATTAAGCTACATAATAATATATTTAATCTTCAGGGTTGAACGACTTGACAAACACAATTGCAAAGTGTCTGAAAAGTACCCAATATATTTAATAAACTTTACTATTGCAACATGAAGAACAGTTGAAGCCAATATGAAATAGCACCATATAGTCAAAATTATTTATGATTTGTACAATGTAGACAAGGTATGATAATTAAGCACATAGCACATCATGTAACAGAAAAATAGTTCTCTTTTGTCTTCATCAGATACACAATGACTGACTAACTGCTCATGTGAATAAATTTAAACAAATGTTCTGTTATATGACCAAATATTACAGACATGATAAGAATAGGGTAGTTTAAAACTTAGTTTGAAGAGTTTTTGGATGATTTATTAATAACTTATAATTCCTGTTTTTATTTTATTGATGGGCATAAAAATTAATTTTATTCTCAACATTACTAGACAGTAAAACCAAATTATTAGGTCATTGTTTTCTGTATAGCAGAGAGCAGAGTTGCATGAGCGCAAAAGAGAACATTTTCGATTGGTTTTACGTTAATTCGCCTAACTATAACGTCTCTATAATAAAATATGAAAGTTAAAAATGGCACAATATATAAAATTGTTATACATTTATTATTATTTACAGAATTTGTCCAGCAAATTGTTGTACATTGTCATACAAATTAATACTTAATCTTAGCAGTTGAGCTCAAAACAATTTTTACCGAAAAATAATAAATAAAATATAGTAAAATAAAGTAACAAAATCAAAAAACAAATCTAAATTAATTGTAAAGGTATGGTGATGTCTTATGGGATAGACAAGGCCAAATATCAACCATTTAACTCAATTATAGACTAACTATTGTTAATGATCAAAATATGTCATTGCAAATTTTCTTACAATTATGTATATATATGTTGTTACATTGTATTACAAATTATGGTAATATCTTATGGGTCATTTAAGGCAAAATAAATGTCAGAAAATGTAACACAAATCCAGAATTATGTTACCCTAAAAAAAAGTCTGATAATTTTAATAATAGTTTATTTGAATATTAAATGGTTTGTATTTTTTGAAATGGTGTAATGGTGTTATAGGAGAAGCGAAGGCCAATATTAACTGAGTCAATAACTAAATGTATATAACAATAAGGAATGTAACTAAAGGTAGAACAATGAGCGTCTCATCTTACATGTCGTTTCTTAACTTCATGCTCATGTGTATCCAACAGATCTAACTCTAACCTTTCCTTCGACGCGATATACAGACGGAATATTGGTACATTTAGAGCCAGATACAAAATGTCAGATTGTATGGGAGTTGCTTGGACACCCAAATCTGGAAGCATGGACTGATGTCTTGTCAAGGAGTCAAATAGATATTTGCTGGTTTGCTTTCTGTTATTGGATGCATTGAGGCATTCTTTCCCTCAATATTTCAGAAACTGATAATGCTGTCATAACTAAAGCTTAAATTCATGGTATTCATTACAAATGGACCAACAAAAAAGAAATAAAAAAATATAAACTAATAAAAGATGGCTGACCAAGCACATGATAGTGAGAACTACATTTCAACATGAATAATATAAGCTGTCTATTAATTAGAATTTTTAAAAATAGCTCACGAAATTCAAAATACATTATCCAATCTGTTATTTGATGATTGTAATATAATTCTAGGTGGTATGTATCTGGTTTTGCTTAGTGCTTTTAGGTTAAAATTGTATCAACTGTAAAATTCACTAGTCATTAATAATTATAATTTTACATAATAACCATATTAAAATTTCTTCCAATGATAAAGGGCAAAATTTTACTTGCGAAAAATACGATTAACGTCAGTCATTTGAGCACCACCAGACATGGCTGCCAAATCAACAAACCCAGATTTGGCAGCTCTAGGAGATGTAGAAATTCACTACGCTTAGGAAAGAGTATAAAAATATAAAACTCAATGACAAACCCTCCTTCTAGATGTAAAAATACATGTTACGCGTCAAGACAAATGGTTGGAAAATAGACGAAATCTAGTAACTGATTTATAAATTGCATAATATATAGATGTTGTAGTTTCACCAAAGACGTGAATAAAATTAAAATGTTGCCAATGCTAATAAAACAGTTGAAAATAATTTTCATCCTGGAAGACATTTTAGATGTGCTGGATTATTTTTGTTACTTTCTTTGATGAGATGATAATTATCAATTTATTCTGTACCATTTCTTAAAAAAACGAAGGGTTTGTCATTGTATTAAAAGGCTATTAAATAAGGTTTTCATTATAAACTATAGTTGAAATCATAGTTTTGGGGGTCTTTGGGTATCGGGGGAGGCTGGGAGGGGATGGTCACTCCCTCTGTGTCGAGCAGACGTAGTTTTATCTCCATACTCAATAAAGTTTCTAAATCTTGTTTCATCTGACTGCTCACCATCTGAAAGTAAGAATTAGAGTTTTACACCCTACTGTTTTGAACAGCAATTGGGGAATGCTACCTGACAGAGCCCTGATGGACAAATTCAGGGTGTATTTTAGCAAAATTCTACTCTGTATCATAAATACAGAGATCTTTAATATACAGTCTGTCTAAGCTTTATTTGTTTCATTCATTGTATGGACACTCTTTCCATGTCATGACAAACAATCTGGTATGTACAGCGAGAAGACTGGTCAGAACTGTTTTCCCTGGACCTAGATGACAAGACAATGTTTTCCATTCTGTAGCAAACAACACTTACCTTAGTTCCTAGTAAAACATTTATACCATCTGTCCAATAATCAAACTCTGTTTCTGAAGTGGCTACGAAATTAAAACTGTCGGCAGTGTCGGGTACGATACTAAAGGCACAATTTGCACTGTTATTACCCTGTAAAAACCCAGATAATATGATTAATGGTTATTTCCCCTTGAGATTTGTCAAGCAGTGTTTAACTGTGATTAGAAATACAAGAATTTCGCACACAGACCATTATTAAGTTAAAGTATTCATCAGCTTCAAGATCATACGGCTAATATTAGAATAACTTGCGCCTGATAAAAAAATATGAAGTTTTGTAACTTTATCATTAATATATTCACTCATCCTTCCTAGAAACTTCAACCAAAAATCTCTATAAATTTTGGCTGTAATTTCTGTTAAAAATGATAATTTTTCCAATATTTAAATTGTTATCAAAGTAAAGTAATTCTGAGACTATTCTGATAAAAGGGCAGAAGAAAGTAGACTTACCCCTCGTTTTGATTTTTGAGCCCATGGACAATCTTTTCCAGTCTGTAAACTTCTAATATCAACTATAGGCACTGGAAAATATAACAGGGCATGAAACATTAAAACTTTTTATTATGTATTTACAGAAGCACTAGTTTATCAACTGAAAACATGAATATCGTTTTTTCACGTCACAAAATTCCCAGGCTTGGAGGGGGAAGAAATTATAAAAAAAAGCTATATAAACAGAAACACAAGGGATTATATTATTGTATAACACACTTCTTTAATAATATATTCCCGTGTCTTTTCTGTTATATGTGCTCTTAACTCAACTAAATGTCATTCAAATTTCAAACAAAAGCTAATACAAAACAGAACAAAAGTTTGGTCTCTTTTAAATTAGGCTGTAGTTCCAAATCCAGATATTTGCAAGTTTGTGTCAAGCAATATGGACAACAAATTTGGACTATTTCACTGTTTCATATTGACAGTTCACCTATTTATAATTGATCACTGATTGATGATGATAGAAGGTGCTAAGATATAGACTAGACTTACATTTATTGTGTAGTTGTTCTAGAACAGGTGTATCAGTCTCTGTACAGTCACCATAATGGAATGTTTTATGATTAGGAGCTAGTTTCCAATACCAGTATTTATCTAAAAAAAACACAGAAATATTCTCTGAATCTGATTCCACAGCGTCAGTATTAAATTCAACCTTTTACATGGCAACTATGTTTGTTGTAAAAACTTCTACAAAAATCATCAATAAATTTGACCCACATTTCTTAACAGTACTATGAAGATCAGTATTAGGTTGAGAATATCTAACATTATTAATTAGGAGACTTAAATAACTATCTCTTAAATAAATGCATGATTTTTAAGCAACACTTTGATATTATTACAGGTTTCATTTTTTTTTTCTTTTAAAAAATTCTTTTATGAAATAACAAAATAAATTTTATTTTTGAATTTGAATCATATATAAATGATAATTATAAAATTTATAAAATTCATTCCAAAGAATTTGGTTGTAAAAAAATTCAAGAACATGCCAAAGATCATTACAAGCAAAAGATGTTTTTTTTTAAATTCATGCCAAAGTGTAGATTTAGGCGTCTGAAAATGGTTCGACCTTCCCTGGCCGATAGTTGCAATCCTCAGAAAGGTACAAAAGGAATTATAATCTGGTGCCAGTAGAATCTGAAAATTTCTGTTATAACTTCTAAGTCAATCTAATTATAATATGTGATTTATCACAATTAAAACACATGCAAGTCATTCCTTACAACATTTAAATTTTTCTGTTAAGAATATTACTCAAGAGTAAGGTGAAGTCAGGTGTTTCTATGAACAAACAAGAGAATATCAATCTATTGAGAGATAGCTGATACAAGTATGTGTTTTAAACTATCTTCTTTGCCAAAATAAGAGAGCTAAGTTTAATTAACGACAAGTCATCTAAAACTACCTGTAACAAAAATTTCATAAATGAATTTGTGATAAAGGCCTAACCATATTGAATGACAAGTTGAATCAAAGTGTTGCTACATGCTAAATATATAGATAGAGAGTGAACAGTGGAGATGGACCTTTACTACTAATTCTTATAAATACTTTCAACTATCACATAATGCACAATTATCACCAAGTGTGTCAGGTTTTTTTACAGCATGTAGGACTCGTCTTTATGGTCCCAAAAAAAATAGAACTAAATTGAAACAGTAAAAATATATCATTAGGTGATGTTCAATACATTTCTTTATTATACTTGTTGGAAGGTAACAGACAGTTTCACCAGCTATATAATCTATCATTTATAAATGTAATCATTCTTTTATCGATGAAGTTAATGAGATGCCCAAGCTCCTCACAGGTCAAAGCCAAGTTTGTAGTTTAAAAAAAAATCTTATTTCACAGTCAATTTTGTTTTGCTTAAAGACAGAACTCAATTATAGGCCAAAAAAATGCAAAATTTGATAAGAGAAATAATCAATCTTATAAAAACATAAACATTCACATCAGAGTTTCCGAACTGGCAGCATCAAAACAAATTTTCAGGGAAATTCGTGATAAGCACTAAATGATAAAAATTCAGTGAAAAATCAAAAAATATCAAAAACAATAATGCTCCAATGAAATGAAAGATTGAACTGAAAAATCGAAAAAAATAAAATTGAACTGTAAAACCAAACCTGAGGCTTTCAAAAAAGAAAAAAGAAAAATGAAATTAAAATATGTTTACGAAAGCGACAGTATATAAAATAACACGAAACATAAAGTCAATATTCTGGAAATAAAAATGATTTGAAATTTACAGACATGGGGAGTGACGTTTCAATCAAGCTAGAGTTTTGCGTAAAAAATAAATTGGCGGGGCTGGGGTCATCCATGGACATTCAACTGCTTTTTTTTAGATTTTTTTGGTAAGAAAGTATATCTAATGGCCAATTATTATTCACAGAAAATCAAATACAGACACAGTCCTGTAACAGGAAGGAAGTTACTTCTATATTTTACAGACGACAGTTAAAATTACCACAATCAAAGCTATCCCATTGACCTCGCGTATACATAGATAGGGAATTTAGAGAAAGGAGGCCAAGAGATGAAAGCAAGCCTGTCTTCAAAAGCAGAGTTCAAAAGTCCCCTGATCTTAAACTTGAAAGAAGAACTGTTCCTGATATGAAGCCCCTGATCTATGACCTCTAACTAAGCCCCCTTGAATCCTCTTTATCCCAAACTTGGAAGCCCCCCGATCTCTGGCTTGAGAGATGGCATTGAAAGAGACAAAGCTCCCAATCATAAAAAATATAATGTTTCTGTTAATAAAGTTCCCCTAGAAAACCTGATATGAAGCCCCCAATCTCTAGCTAGAGAGAAAAGAGAGAAAGCCCCCAATCATGAAAGATGAAATGTTTCAGCCATGAAATCCCCTGGAAGCCCAATCGAAGTCCTGACATGAAGCCCCCTGATCATCAGCTTGAAAGCATCAAGTCTCTTGACATGAAGCCCCCTGGAAGCCCACTGAGAGACCCTGGAAGCCCATTGAGAGCCCACTGAGAGCCCCCTGGATGCCAACTGAGAGCCCCATGGAAGCCCACTGAGAGCCCCTGGATGCCCACTGAGAGCCCCCTATATGCCCACTGAGAGCCCCTGAAAGCCCACCGAGAGCCCCTGGAAGCCCACTGAGAGCCCCTGGATGCCCACTGGGAGCCCCTGGATGCCCACTGAGAGCCCCCTGGATGCCCACTGAGAGCCCCTGGAAGTCCACTGGATGCTTTGACACAAAGCCGTTGGAAGCCCCTGATCTCTAGCTTGAAAGAGGGAAGTGAAAGAGAGAAGTGCTGAAGTGATGTGAAGCAAACAACGAATAATGACATCAATGACATGTAATTTACCCAAACTTTGTCGTTTCTTTAACGTATCTGGAAATTTTATCGACAAAAATATATCAAAAATAAAAAAATATTTAGGAAAATATGATAAAACTTTAAATGAATAGTTTTAATGTTTTATGATTATGATAAACCAACCCTAGATAAAGAGAAGAAAAGTTATGACAAGAAACAAGGCTGGAGATTCTAGTTTTCTTTGTCTTAGAATGACATATTTAAATTAAGATATTCACATTATTTGCTCCTGAATTTTTCTGTGAATATGGAGAATATTCAAATTATGACTTGATATAATGTCACTACAAAAAGGCGGCCTTAAATTCATATTTTTGCTGTAAAAATTCATCAACATGTGATAGTCAAAATCCATCAAGTCAATTTGTAATTAAAGTCAGACGTGACTGGCAAATAAAAACCATATCAACAGCTCTGCTTGATAATAGTATATGTACTTAATGATTTAAGAAAGATAGAAATGATTTAGCAGATATTTTCCTTGTTTTTTTTTAGCTGCTGTGTTTGACGCATGGCATAAAGAAACTACAGAACTTTACACAAATAATGAAATTAATATTTTGATTATTATAGTAAAATATAGACAATTTTAAAATAAGACACATTGTTAGAGAAATTAGATCTGAATAAAGTTAACACTGTTTAATAAATAAAGAACATGTTTTAAATCAAGCCAAGCAATTACAACAAAGCATTTTTTAACAAATCCAATAAAATTTTCTATGTAGAAAGCCTAAGTGAACATTTTGAATATTATCAAAATATATTAATAGTTTTGCTTAAATAGAAAAAGATAGAAATGGCCAATTACCAAATGAGTTGATAAAACCACCCATGAGCTAATAATTAGTATTCAAATTTCAAATAAAATAAATTTAATCTAAACCTACCTTTCATTCGACCACGATTATTATATTTATTGAATCGACTGCCTTTTTCTAAAATCTGTAATCTTTGTTGTTGAATTAATTCTATAATTTCTGGAGTAACTTTATCACGTAGCTCACTGTCAAAATAATCATCAAATATCAGAAACCAGAAATTTCATCATGTCAACTGACATTTTGTCCAAAAAGTAGAATTTCTAAATAATATCTGAGACTGTCGATGTTAATAATTGTCCCAAAAAATCCATAAATATCTGGCAGTGATCCCAGCCATATACAACTGGTAATAGCTTCAGTGTGAAGGCCACTTTAAATGAATTATAACTCAAGGAAGGTACTTACATGATAGGTTTAGCCTGAGATGAAAATTCTTCTTTAATTTGTCGGTCATGATCCCAGAGTTTTTTAATTTCATTGTAATTAAGTTGATGTAGACGGTTTCGGAAGGCATCGAATGTTGCAGGATGAATGTCCAGTGATCGGATGATTTGTTCTTTAACTACCCCTAATACCTGAAACACAAACACAATTCATAGATAGAGAATCAAAGTTATATCTTTTGATTCTTCACCCTACTGAGTTTAATTCATAAACAGGATTTTAACTGCAGCACATTGATCTATCTTCCTTCAATTTTAAGTGACCTTCAAACTTTGTATAAATTTGATAAATGATTTGAAAAACAATTCACACAAATTTTACTCCTCCTTTGTAGTACACATTAAAATACTCATTTCTAAACAAATAATGAAAAATTTTTCACTTTACAATGAATACAAATTTTTAAATTACTTCTTAATTTCATGTCATTTTTAGACAAATTTTTCAATAAATCTGAAACTTAACAAACACCTTTTTTTTACTACATACATCTAAATGAGACACGAATGATTTCTTTGGTTTCATTTTAAAACAGGTCAAAAAGTTAAGATCTGTGTTGTCTATAGAAATTATAAATACTAAACTCAGACCCAATCTACAGGTTTTATAAGGTGATCAGAGATTAAGGGTAGCAAGGAGAGGGAAGCCATTTTTGTTTCTACTGCTATTCTAACAAAATGGTTTCTGAAACACCTCAACCACAATTAATTACTTTAAAAGCTTCAACTTTCTTTTGGCTTCACATTTTCAACTTTATTCATTTTTCTTTTTATTCCTGTTAAATTTGTATTTCATGATATTAACTTAAAAAATTTTTGACTAAAAATTCTATGTAATTCAAAGTAATGCAGATTAAATGTAGTCAAAATATCCAAATAAATAAAAAATAATATAAAGCTTTTTAAACAAAAAAAAAAAGATCTTAAAATCCAACTCAGAGTATAAATGTCGTGCACAATATCAACACCTACTACAAAAAACTCATCATTCCAAAAATTTACTTACTTTTTCAAAATCTTTTGATGTAGCTCTCATTTCTTTCCATGTTTTGTTCAATAGTTGTATACACACGGAGAAAAATTCTTCTAGTGGTTTATCATGGTGGAAAAACATAGGATAGAACGTACTACCTTCTTCCATTGCTATAAAATATTATTGATATGAAATGAAGGGGAATGAATTCATGGAATAGAGTTTTACATCCTACTTTTCTGTACCATGTGGGCTAATGAAGACGGTGAAATGAAAGGGAGGATAATTTGTAAATCATGAATAAATAATATATTTATAAGATATATAGAAATAGGAAGGTAATATTAAATCACTCAGATATATAGATATACTACTTCTGTTTGTAATAAAGTATAATATCAATATATCTTGGTATTTTTAATGAATAAATATTGTTTGGAGGATTTATGGAGGATATTGACCATCGGTCATTTGAGCAGCCCCATTGGTCATGTCTGGCATACAGAGCCAAATCAACAGCCCTGGTTTATGTCAATTGAAATGGAGTTGAACTCAATACTACTGTTCTGCAATAAGGTTAATGAATACAGGTAACGCAAAGCAGTGTGCAATGATAAATCTTTGTTGTTGTATCGGACGTATAGGGATATGTATCGTATCGTAGCATGATTGCGACGATACCCAGCACCACTTAGAGTCCTAACCAAATTCCAAACCAGACAATTTGTGAAAGTCAATACCTCTGACCTAAAGAAATACCTTACTAAAGACAATGAAAAAAAAAAGTAAATCAACTTACGAGGTTCTCCAATATGGAAAATGTCACATATTTTTTTGGTTAAAGCAATGGAAGCCTTGACAAACGGACAATCATGTTCATCAGCTCGACTGGAATTCTCTAATACAACCTAGAAAATAATGGAAAACAATGTCAGCACTGACGCTGTCTGGTTGTCTGGTTGTGTGAAAAAGTTTCAAAAAAATTCTTTTCACAAGTTAGATATTGGTTGGACACGTCAAAAATTTCTCATAAACTAGAACAGAGTGAGTCATTCAGTAGACGAATCCATGAAAACACATTTAATTGCACACAATGCAAGAACAAGCTCTAAAGTATAAAACTATGATAAGCATAAAAGCTGTACATTTAAAGACTATATTTTCGTATGAAGTTCGAAAATGCACTATAACAACAGTCCAAATAACCTCTAAAAAATCATCGACTTTCCTTCTTAATCATTGATATGAAATTGTATGAGAAAGAAGTTATATTTCTTACCTTAACATAATTTTCACCATGTGTTCGAGCGAAATATAACATATTATGTAATGTAAGTAATCCAGGTGGCGTGGTGGTGAAATCCTTCGCTGGATGTGATACATTCTATAAATGAATAAATGAATAAATAAATAAATAAATAAATAAATGAATGAATGAATGAATGAATGAATGAATGAATGAATGAATGAATGAATGAAAAATTGAACAAACCCTTTTTTTGATTTGTGATCAATATATGCAATATATATTGCTATAAGATTTAAATTGTCTTTCTGAGCTTCATGACATACCAAGAAATGAGAGATTTGTCTGAATTAATAATAAAACTTACCACGAAACCCAGTTTTTTATAATCTTGAGCAGGAGATTGTGATTTACGAACTGTATTAATATTCGGATCTCCGTCAACATCGAACGCTATTCTTCTTAATTCTTCTATATCTTGTAATGTTTTCTATAACACAATATACATAGTTCAAATATCTTGAATACCTTTAGCAGTGTTGATTTTTTGTTCCTTTTTAACATGAAAGGTCTCTCAAGCAAGGAAAACAACAATTGCAATCTCTTGCAGTGATCAAACAGTCCAGTATTGAATAGGTATTTTGATTATTCTTCATTGAATTGATAATTCATACATAATGTTCCATTTTCTGAGGAGCAATCCTTTTCTAAATGATTACAATAATCTTTTCATTTTCAAAATCAACAAAAGATGTTTCTCAAAAAATCTTTCAAACAATTTTGTATTAATTATGGTATTGTTTAATGTATTATTCAACATTTTTCACAAATTTTATCTTGAGATTTTTGATAGACGTTGCCTAGTTACCTGATCATGAGAATCAACAGGAGTATTCATCTTTTCTTCGTGTAAGTTGAGCAATAAAGTCTGTAAAACGTATAACTGGTGAGCCATTTCCTGTCCCATCTGACTTCCAACACTTCTAATAACATGCTAGACAAATAGAAAATGTGACACAATAAATATAACCTCCAAATATGTTCTGCAATTTTCAACAACCCTATCCACAAATAGTCAAATATAAATGATAGATACCAAGAAATCAGTTTTCAAATTTTAACATATATTTAACAAGATAACGGTAAACTAAAAAGCGAAGATAGAACTGGGATATATCTTAGTGTTTATATTTATATTAGAATAGATTAGAGTCCAAGCTACTGAATAAAGATTCCTGATAAATATTCACGTAAACTTACTGTAATTATAATGTTTCTCATACTTCGTGTCTGTAAACTTTCAGCTATTTTCTACGAAAAAATGTTTTAACTTAATACAAAATCTGATGAGATATGGAAGAATTTTAACATTTTAGTTTGTATACTCAGGCTATATGAAATAAGAAGTTCTCAATCAAATTAAGTGGTATATTTCATTCTCTTCAGGGTCTTACTGATCTGCCAAAGTAAGAACAGATATTAATCTGCCTGTGTGCAATGATGGAAAGTATACCTAATATTGACAGATTTGTATGAATACTCAATTTTTCTACTCAGTCAAATGAGAACGTGATAAATATATCATGCAAGGCCACACATTTCCAAAAAAAACTTAAATTTGCTTACTTTTTTCTTCTCTGGATCAGCTTTTGTAAACAAAGCATTTATCAGAGCGATAGCGTTTTTACGTACATCTAAATCATATTTTTCTAAATAAGGAATAACGTTACTAGGGGTAACCACCTGTTCTACTACAGACAGTTTATCAGTACTGAAATAAACAATACATACATTATAGGAGCAGTTAAATTGTTTAAAATTGGTTATAGTATAGACAAAATATGTCAACACTAATAAGAAATGGAGTGTCAATTCTGTTCGCCTGATTGGAAAATAAATGAAAATGGCTGTCCAATGAGAAATGAAATTTAATGACAACGTGCAATGCAATCCACTGTACAACTATGAAAACTTACTGAAAGTACAATAAAGTAACTAACCTATTCATGACTACTAATTCTAGAATTTCTAATGCTGCCTGTAAACAGTTACTATCTTGTGATTGGTTGCTACAATTTACACATTCAGCTACCTACAACAAGTAAAATATCACATTAGAATATTTAGTCAAGAATTTTAGTCAATAGAAAACTTCAAGATCTTGCCACAAATAGCTTTAAACTCAAAACAAATCAACACCATTTATTGAATTAAAGCTAAATATTTGCAGTGACAGTATCATTCAAAAGACAGGGCATGATAACTTGTAAAATGAGAAAACAGTTATAACCTAAATAAAGTTTTCTTACCCTTTTAATAAATTCAGGTTGTAAAACGTCCCAAGATATATTGTTTTCCATCAACGCAACAAAAGATTTTAAGGTAAACGCTAACGGTTCTCCTTTACTGAAAATATAACACAATAAATATTACAATAATATAGGCATGTTATTGGACCCTAATATTCAGTGAAAATGAAAGTTTCATGGTTAATTATACATTTCGAATATTTGTTACAATATCTTTATTCTGTCTATAGATTCTCTTGATCTATCATCTATTAAAATGGCTAGATTCCTGTCCAGTGAGTTCACTTGTTTGCCTCACTCGTTTCAAAACAAAATATTTGAAATTCAACCCCCCTTTCCTTCCTGGTATTTATAAGACTATCATATACAGACCGAATATGTGTAAAAAAAAACACAACATGAGTTGAGTAAATTAACTTGAAGTAAATAATGATTAAACTTACTAGACACCAGAATTAACGATATCTATTAAGAGATCTAATCCTTTAATATTAATAAACTCTGTAGCAAAGGTACTGTCTGATGATAACTTTGATAATTCTTGTAAACCTTTTATTCTTTCTTCTGGACCAGAATTCAATTTACATTGGTTATATAAATTCTGAGCATTTTTTGCCTGAAAGGGTAAAAATTATTTGTGATGACTTTTGATGATGTACAACTCTGTTGTTGACCTCAAGATATTTATTTTTACCCTATATTCGCCAACAACAATCAAAACATCTATTAGATATTTACAAGTCAAGCGTGATGGATGTTTTAGAGGCTGGATAATCATTCAATTAGTTTTGGACTAGTCCTAGTCAAGCTTGATTGCAGATAGAAAATGTTTCGTTGTGATTTCATATAATTATGTTATGTCAAGTTTATTTTAGTAAGCAACTGGGTAAGGTCTAATTAAACAAAGAGAAATATAAGAAATTATAAGAGAATAAGAATATAATGAAATATAAGAAATTAAAACTTACTGGTGATTCTGTTAATTTTAAAACATTTCCATTTCCTATTTCACCACGATTCTAAAAAAAAAATCAAAAAAAATCAGATCAATTCATTATTACAAAAAGGTTATACCTTAAGTCAAATTTTTATGGGACTTCATTTTGAAGAATATTATACCTCCGATTGAAATAAAATTTCATTTTCCAATTGTAAATTTACTTCATCAAATCTTAACAAAAGTGCCAGGAAAAAATCTAGTTGCAATGCCTTCTCATGAATTCTTAAACATCAAACATATAATGTATTTTACTCACTCTCTCTGTGATATATTTTTGTCCGTTTGTTTCACTAAATTGTAAAGAATATGTTTCAGGGTCACCTAAATTCCACCTAAAATATAAAAAAAACTTTACAATTCAGGAAAATTGCAGTTTTTTCTTATCTGTTCATTTTCTATGTGAGTTTGTGGAGCATAGGATTAGAATTCAAAGTTTAAATATTCAATACATTGGAAGGAATTTCACTTGAAACAAATTATTTTACCTACTTTGGAATAAATCAAGGACAGGTAACTTACTTTAATATGTAAAAAATAAAAAATTCCAAAAGGAAAATTGAATGTTCTTACCCGTTCGCTATATCTTGTATAATGGCTGCTAAAGGCCGATTCTAGAAAAATTAAAGAAAAAACATTTTAAACAAACATCAACAACAAACATTTCAAAATTTATAGATTCATTATCTCGAATTCTCTAAATGTAATATCATGATGACAAAAATAAACCAAGCAAGTTTAAAAATGACCTGTACATAATCCAATCTTCTAAATATTTGTAACAAATATCGATAAAACTACCTTAGCCAACAAAAATACGATTGTTTATGAGGATAAGTGAAAAAAATTAGCTTGAAGCACTTGGGAGGGTGACAGATCATCAATTAACCTTATGATTAATTAAGTATTATATAGGTTAATAAGGATTAACAGCCTTCAGCATTAGTTCTCATTGATATCCTGGAGCATTCCTCATATTTAACACTTTGCACTGATTAGCTGTTAGTTTTGTTAAGATTGAGGGATCAGGGATGCTGATTAGGCCGTATTTGTCGGTCATGTTCAATTTTTTTTAAAAGTGTCATGATGTGATTTTAATTTCAAGGTCATTTTTTGTTCAATTTTCCAAAAAAATTGAAAAAAGGTTTGATTTCCTACATTATGCATCTTGTTGAAACAATCAATGTTTTTGTAGGATACGGTACCTAGTAAAACAGGACAGTGCCAATTTATCTGGGTTTTTTTCTAAATAGACAGTAAGATTTGGTCTAATAGTCATACACAGAACTTGAAAGATATAAAAATCTGTTAATATCAGTAAATGACAAGACAAACAGTAAACTTGAAGATTATATTTAGTAAGAGTATAGCTGTGGGTTATTTATTATGACCTCAGGCAGTCATTATTCAAGGGGTTAAAAGGGCAATCTTTAGGAGAAAGTCAAATCAAAACATTTAAATCACTTGTTCTCCATTGAGACATCAGATGGAATTCATAAAAACATTTGGATTTTACCTGATCTAGCTCAATCAGTTGGGCCTGGGCTCCCCTCATGGTGATGGCCACTTTCTTGATATTTTCACTCACTGAAGTGCGAGTGGTAGTTGGCAACACTTTATCTCTTCCTGGTTGAGACGACATGATTATTTCATCCAAAAACTAAACAATCACTTCCTACTTTCAACAAAGAAGGTCTTTAAATCACATAAAATGACAGTTTTTGACATCCAAAAGCTCCAAGAATTACATCATTTGATCGAGAAAGACTACATCTTGAAAAGAAATACATATATCCTATTATTTTGGGATTAATTAGTGGTTTTTAATCAGAAAATTGTTCTTAATTAATCTGACATTTCAACCCTTGGATCATTTCCGGAATAAAAGTACCGTTAGATGTCACTGAAGTCAGTTGTGTTGCCAGATTAATGAAAAGCAGAAGTAGGTCGACCTCATTTTGTTTAGATCTACCTATGAAACTTTACTAATCTTGTTCTTGATACAGAAAATTTCGAGTTCATGTAATTTAAAAGATCCGGTCATGCATAATATCAATTTAACCATCTCAAAAAGAAAAATGTATTTACATTCTGGCAAGAGTGTTCAAAATGGTGACCTTTGATATTCTTTTTCTGAAGAACAAAATGAAAATGGCAATGTTTGACAAATTCAGGCAATGAAATGGGAATTTTCTTTCCGAATTTTGCACTTTCAAGGTGTTTATACATTTGTACATTAATTGGTAAGCGTTCTGGTCTCGTGTCTTGCTTTGTGTTAAGCTTTGTGAAATTTAACTTTAGCTGAATTAAGAATTAGGATACAGACCACAATTCTTTCTCCCATCCTAATTTACTCGTTAATGCCTATCCATCAGTAGTTTTTGGTTTTAAGATATTTTTGGTTGAGAAGTTGTCTGCAAGAAAACAATATAGTCATGGTGTCATTTAGCAGAGATAACTGGCAATAGTTATCACTGGCCCTTTGTATTTGAATTTGTTTCTTAGAAAAACTTTTACAAATTATTTTGTTATAAAATAAATTTTATAATTTCAGATCATTAAAACTGAAAGAGAAAGATGATGGCAATGAATTCTTGTCAGATTTTCTCCAGGGTACCATTTTCTGTTTCCAGATTGAACATTTCCTGGTTCTCAATAAAGGCAAGTATAGGGCAAGCCCTGCCTCAGATTTTTCAAATGGGTTCCTGCATGCCGGTCATTCTCATGAGTACAGTACCAAAAAAAAAGTGTTGCTGTACTCTTGAATCGTCCGTGGTGCCACTTTCTTGTTTCAGGTGTGGCAGGTAGGAGAGTGAACTCGGTAAAAATTCCCTCCTGCACAAAAAGTTTTGAAAATCTAAGGCGGTTCTAGATTATGTCTGTTCATGTTATTCTATTACCCTGGTTCCCAACTGGGTTTCAGCCCCTGGGGGTGTGGGACTAGGGTGTCAGGGGTGTGGCCAACTGATGTAGGAGAAGAATTTTTTTTGAATTAAGAGAGCACCTCACATCATCACATGCTGGAAATCTGGATGAAACAAATTTTTGGGCGTGTGAAAGTTCCAGGTGATTGCTCCAGGGATGTGAAGGCTGAAAAACGTTCGGAACCACTGTTCTATTATAAAGAAATAAACATCTGATACTAAATTTTCAAATTTCACCAAATCTGATATTATGCTCTGCCTTCCAATAGTCAATAATATGACTACTATACCATGTTTTAAAATCTTTTTTTTTTTTTCAGAAAGAGACATCAAAGATTTTGTGTTTGTCAACAAACGTGAATCAACATGAAACTGTGCAAAGAAGAACTCTGTTGAAAATAAACGAACAAGATTTTAGTCCATTATACAATAAGGATCAGGTTAATCAAAACTGTGAATTAATTTATAAATTTGACATGAGCTATAGGTATATTGCGATGGCGTTCAACATGTCGGCGATACCGTGCATATGTTACAGCGTATATGATATGGTACAAAATTACGACACTCTAAAAGATTTGACTTTCATGCACATGGAGATGCTTCCACATCTTACCGCCGCGTTTTGTTTGTATACGTCCATATATACTAACAAAATCATGCGTCAGTATATGAACAGGATCTACTATGATGCCGAACGAGATGTGTACATTGGGATTCATCCCAGGTGGAATTTCCAGTTGCATAAATTAGAATTTAAACCAGAAGATTGTGATCGAAAGATTAGAAATCCAGTTTCCGGGATGTGGCAGGGGAATATTCGAATTAAAAAACAACGATTCAGCATCACAGACAAAAATTTCAAATATGGACGCCATTTTGAACGGATATTTAAATTTAAAATGGAAGATGATTTATTGAAGACTGAACATCAAGATGAATCTGTTAACGAGTTTCTAAAACTTGGTGAAAACAAAGCCAATAAAATCAGAGAAAATATTACGAAAAATTTAGAAATTTTGAAACAAATGATGAAGAAAAAAGAATAAAGTAGATTAAAGCTTGTTTCTTTTTTGATATGTAGTTCGGGAAACAGAATGTACCCTACCCATGGCATGAGTAGGACAAAGGGTGCAATACAACAGTAGTGGTTCTTTAATCAGAAATCTTAAACCCCTTTCTTTAACATTAAGATTTATCGAAACATAATAATATGGCCTTCTATTTGTTGCAATTGTTAATTATTATCCATTATGCAACATATTTGATAATTTTATAAAGACGAATAATGATGTAAGAAGCACAACAGGGTCATTAGATGGGTATCTTTGAATTTTTCTCCCATTGTACACTGCATGGTGTTGTGTTGTCTTCATTAGCTAAGTCAGGTCTAAAAAAGTAGGATGTAGAAAATCCTATTTTGCAACAGTTGTCTTCTGGGTGATTTTGTTTGAACTCTGTGGGCAATTTGGCTTCAGACCGATTTGACCATGCGTGCTGCCAGAATATTAAAGCTTTTCCAAATTTTCTTCTATAGGCTAACAGATCTTCATTTCGAAGATTAAGAGTTTCGTGATAATATTTTGTTCATTGTAAATTAGTACTCTTCTCAAATGAGATCACAACATGATCCTTCTAACGAATATTTCCTTGATTTGTAATAATTCTGGCAACACTAATTGATTTACAACATGATGGAAGAGAGGAAAGGAAAAATGCTAAAAGACTTATGACAGCAAAAATATTCTTCGAGTTTCATATTTCCAGTGAATTACTTTTACATGTGAATACAGACAGTGTAATTATTTATTTTCCCGTTTCTTGATGTAAGTGATAATCGCTGAATTCGTACTTATTCCTGAAACTCTTCTCAATGTCAAACGACCACATTGCATTCAGACCACAATAAATTTGTCCATCCTAACTGACTTGCAAAAATGCCAAAATGGTATCTTGGGAAGATAGAAATTTAATCTGTAAAGACTGTATTTATTAATATTTTAGATCTCTATCCTCGCTAAGGTAGATTATTTCAAGTTATGCTAAGGACTTTGATATATCTGACCAAATCAGAAACAATAAATGTAAAATGGACTCCCATAGCCAGGCTAAGGTTATTAGACAGAAAGAACATTATGATTTCAGTGGAAATTTACAATGAATCTGACTTATTTGTAGCTGTTACTTGATGGTATAATACTGTAGACCTGTAATGTTGTCTTTATTTGTCATGGTATCAGTGTGATGTTATATTTCAGAATTCGAACTGTCAACCAAAGGACAATGTTTGTGCTGAGATCAATTTCAATAATCCCTAGGATACCAAAATGTTTCCCAAGATTGAATATTTCCTGCTATCGTCACCTTAGTGTCAAGGTTTGTTTTTTGTTTTCTTTTTAGTTTTCTTTGTTAAAATTGTCAGTGTATCTGATTGAATTTTGGAATAGTTACTTGAAGTAAAATATTGTTAAAAGTTTAAAAAAAAAAAACTTTTTTTTTTGGGTTGGTGCCCGGTTGGTGCTTTCGGCTTTCAATAATCTTAAGTAATCCTGGCAACCCTGTCTCAATTTATACAACTATCCTGCTAGCCTGGTGACCCAAATTGTCAAGATTATTTTTTCTGATTGCAGCAAGTATGTCAGAAAGATTTGCCAAAGTTATTACCTTGTACAACCCATCAATATCAGCAATCTAGCGCAGTACAGAAAGCATCGAGGTTCAAACCGCTGTATACTGTAGATAATATCGATCCTCATTGTGAGCTAATTTATCAATATGGACAAGATTTATATTATTGGTCGCTGTTTTTTCACGTTTTAGCCGTTCCGTCATGTTTATCAACTGCGTATAATTTTGGAATTAATGTAATGAACTCAGAAACGTTCGTCCTCTCACAATTAGCGCCACCTATGAAAATTTTATTTTCGGTTTTTATAACAGTATATATCAACAAAATGATGAGACGTTTTTTAAATAGAATTTATTACGATCCTATGGCAGATACCTACACTGCTATTCATGTAGACTGGAATTTTAAATTTCAAAAACTGGAATTTACACCAAAAGATTGTGAGGTAATTGATACCAGCACCAAATATGGAAAAGGAAATTTGAAAATTAAGGACAAGTATTTTAGTGTGAGTTATTCTAATTTTAAGTATCCCAGCCATTTTGAGAAAATATTCGGAATGAAAATGATTATACCTGAAAAGGAGGCAGATGCAGACACAAAGAAAGAATAAAGAGATTTGTTATTTGTAGAATTGTTGCCTTTTATTATCAGGGGAGATTGGTGCATATGATAGAATGTTTTTGCTGCGTTCTAGCTCAATTTCAAATTTTAATTCCTTGTTTAAGACAATTTTAACACAAAATTATGAAATATGATTGTTATATTGTCATGCGTAAATATAAATTGTATAAGAAAAAATCACAGAATAATATTGTAAACACAATAAAACAAACTTTGCCAGTACCAGCAAACAAAGTTAAGATTTTTCAACCAAACATTACTTTCTCAATCTTTACCTTGTGACCCAGGTCAGTGCTTTTATGAGACTATGTCATCATCTAACACCAACAATATAACTTGATTAAAGATTATCTATGCGATTATACAAGGATGTTCAAATAATATACAAAACATGCTTAGCCAGGTTGTCACATTGAATTCTATGAGATAAAACACAATTGGTAGATAGACAGAACTGCCAAGAGGTTTAGTCAAGGACCAGCTGGTAAACAAGATCCTTGAGAACGTAAGTTGTTTATTGTAAAATTATAACTGTCAAGAGGTCTGGCCAGGAACCAACTGATAAACTGGAACCAAAGTTGTTATCTGGATAAAATATTGATTTCTTTATCCTCCACAACTCTGAATCATAAATCAAACCCAATTGTCGCCAGGTGGGAAAACAGGTGGGGGTAAATATTCCCTAGCAGGGGGTGCCCTAAGCTGTACCATTGCCCCTTCTTTCGACAATGACCGGTAATATGGAAATCTTGGTCTCCATTCCACAGAAGCATGACCTTTACTGTGACCTGAGGGTCCTCCATAAACACACTCTTCATAAGTAGGTGGCTCTGAAATAGAAAATTTTACAAAATCTCGGCAAGTGAAAATGATATGCAATTTTACATCTTGCGTTTCCAACATGTTCACCATGACCTCCTTTACCTCAATTAACTTGGATGCTTTAAAGGGACAGGTGCACCATTTATATAGAAAAAAAACAGTGATATATAGAAAGACATACCTTTATATATAGAAATAGCGAGTAAACTTCCTCTAGTTTAAAGTATTTTTATAGGAATTATGTAATTTTCTAACATTTCTAGTACTGATGATTATTAATATATATTCAATACTAAAATCAACCCCCCAAAATGGCGCTCCTATCCCTTTAAGAGTTCTAATGAAGATGGGCAAGACCATGCAGTGTGTAATGGGGTACATTTTGTTTGGACAATCAAACATACCTTCATCAAAATGTTGAGGCGAAGTTGAAGTAGGATGATGATCTGAAGGCTGGATAACAGGACGTACTGGCATCGTACCTATAATAATTACTCGGATAATCTCAACCTTACCAGCTGTTGGAATAGGTACTGTAAGCTGGAAATAAAACAATAGTAATAAAGAAAAGAAGCAAGGCATATTACTATACTGGAGGACTTAAGCTCAGTGACCCTCAGGGGTTGATATTATGTGCTTGTCTGCTTGGTTTCCATTTTCATGCTATTCTAGACCAGGAGTTGCTGAGTTTTGGTCCTGCGTGTACCAAGAACAATTATTTTGTTGGTCATTGCCTGTAAAATTTTGTCATAGCTTTAGATTTTTATATCCTATAGCATTATGTTTGAACGTTATATTTATTTTCAAAACTAGCTGTCCTGATAAGTACTCTGTATCTAAAATACATGTCCATTCCATTAGATCAACACAATTTAATCCTGAGAACACAAAATTAAAAGTATAATAAAAGCTCGTAAATATACCACAAGATTATATTTAATATCAATGATGTCACAGTCGACTAGTTTAGTTGGAGGAAGACATGGCATCGTGGCTGAATTGTTAATCTGTTTGTTTTCTCCTGGTTGAACTATGACCTGGTTCTCAAACAGTGTAAATATTTGAATCTGGACGTCTGTTGATTCTTGACCAGATTTTTTACCATCTTCATATCCTTTGTATGTCGTTATCTGAAAGACATAAACCAAGTTTTAAAATTATTAGATATGAATAGAGATTTACATCTTCCCTTCACACTTCCCTTGTATCACTAAGACAATCAAAACCAATTAACACAAAATATAAAACCTTTACATGTGAGATATTATTATAGGATTTGTGAGGAACTTCTTTATATTGAAAAACTGATAAGGAAAGAGCAATGGAACTTGTTCAAGAAAAATTTTAAAAACCGAGCCACCCTAGCTTTCATGGTTCCTGTCTTACCTGTCTGAGAATAAGAGATACAGATCGTGTAGATAAAGAACTAGCGTTCATCAAACGAATCCTGTAATACATTTCTTCCCCGGGTACGTATCCTGTTTTATCAACATCTAATTTTACAGTGTATTCACCAACATTCCCACAACATAAACCCTGGATATATTCATTGTCTTCTGCTTTAATTGGCACCTAAAAATATAAAAACCTCATGATTAAAGAAAACTAATTGTTGAAATGAAAAAACCCAATTCAAGTAGAGACAAAATATGCCCCTATTTTACTAATTTTTCAAACAAACCACCTGCATTCCCAGCAGTTTATAATTGTTCATGAACCCCTTTCACCACAACTTAATACTTCTAACCCTAAAGTAGGTGATTAGTGCCGTGGGTTCAAATCCTCCTCAATGTAATTATAAATTCTGATGCCGGTGCTTTTGACAGTTCATCTGCTGTCGCCTTTTTCTCCTTCATACCTAACTAAAGTTGCAGTAGAATAGCTAATTTCGTTACGAGTTGTATTTCCATTGGCTCAGTGTCGGCTTTCACCAAAGCCCCTATCCCTGATTATCTACCTACCCGAGCAGCTGGTACTTTATCCAAGTCTATGTGATGAATTAGCGTAAAATTCTTAGCCTCTCTTTGATCTGATTCTCCTTGAGTTGAAAGCATAGCTTCACAGTAATATCGTATGTAACCATGACTACCTTCAAATGATGATGGGATTGAACTCGGTAGATTGGCAGAAAAAAATATATGATGATCTCCTTGGTTTAAATGCTTCCCTGAAAAAGATAGTAAATTTAAGGGTTACACTTTTTGTTTAAAAAATTCATTTATATCTGTAAATTGGCATTATAATAACAGGAATATTAAAGTCTGTTCATCCTAAAACAAAATTAGTGTTATTAGATGGTGATGAAAACATAGTCTCATGAAAGCACTGGCCTAGGTCACAAAGGGAATCAGTATAACAAGCATATAAATTTAATATACATTGATGAATTTACATGGAAAGTAAAATGAAACATATCCAAGCTTTGGTTTGTGGTCCAGGCCACGTATCATCGAAATGATCTTAGCACTAGGATGTCCTGGAATCAATGTTAGAAGATAAGAACCTAGGATATCCTAGTGCGAAGATCATTTGGAGAATACATTTACAATATCCAGGTGCTATCTTTAAGGAATCAAGAAGGCTGATTGGGCTAATCCCAATGCCATGCAGTGTACGATAAGGTTAATTTTCTAGTAATGATACTAGTTATGGAACTGGCTCAAAAGTTTCATGCAACACAAACCTTGTGGAATCAATTCTAAGTTAACACTAAGATAATGTACGTCTGCAAAATACTGAACCCGTTTATTTCTTCTTTGACCAGGAAATTTACGACAATGTCCTTTACCTCCAATATACAATCGTAACCCTGGAAAATAATAAAAGAATAGTTTTGGGTAGTAATGAGAGGGAGGGGAGGGGAAAGAGGATTGTTGACTTGGGCACGGGGTTGCAACCTTTAATGATTTCAGCTTCAAATTAAATAGGGGGATGCTATAGTATGCAGGTGAAATAAGAATTGTAAGAGTAAATCTTGCAGCTACATTTGTGCTAGAAAACGAGCAACCCAAACCCAAAAAATATTACCTCTGCAATGTCATCAACCAGACTTCTAAATAATGTACCTTTACAAGTTATCTTAAATATTTCTGACAAAATAGTGCTGAGCTCGTAACCTTTAACAAATTTCTGGTTTTCTAATGTTTATACATAGTTATTCCTTTGCGCTCGAGCGAAGACTTACCATTATTGAGAGTAACGGACTGTTTCAGATTAATAAAAACATGTCCTTCAACATTGGCCCCAGTGATAAACACTCCCTCACGATTCGAAAAATTCACTTCAAATTTCTGAACTTTCATCTTGGACTTGAGTCTAAAAACAGGAGAATCTTAGATCCTCAAGATTCCATGATTCTTTCCCATAGGCTATTATTTCCTTTCTACATTTTCATCTTCAATTCTGCACTCTCCCTGTTATAAGTCATACCTCTAGCTTTTACAAACTTCTGCAAAAATTTAAAGGAAATATTTAGGGTGAGACTGACTGACTCTTTTTTTTGAGCAATTCCTCACTGGTGCCTAGCAAATAACTTGTTCTGATTGGATTTCTTTACCACTTTCTTATATACAAACTCATTGCAACATTTCTGTTCCTGATTGAGCTATAAAACTGACAAAACCTTTCAGTGTAGAATGAGGAAATTTTGTAGCCTGCTCATTCTTAATTTTAAACTGTTGAGGGATCATTAATGTGTCCGGTCCTTAGTGTGGATATGCCAATGCCTACTCTCCTCTGTTTTCTACTCAGGAATTGGAGCAACTGCAAGTGACAGAGGCCGAGATTTATTTCCAAAAACCAGACGCCTCTCCAGTGTGCACTGCACTGTAGATTTGCTTTGACTTGTGTCACTGTGCTTTACAGGTGTTCATTTGTTTCATGCCTGTTCATAAGCATATAATGCAAACATGCATACTGTAATCGAGCTATGCTGTCTACAATGGCCTTACTTCATTAACATTATTAGTTTGGTTTGTTTACCTTTTGCAGAACGACCTTCACCTTTACCTATGTTCATTCGGGCCACCGAGAATATAACATGGCTACAGGCTACTAATAATTTACATTTTTCATTCATGACACAGTTTTTCTTCAATGCAAATGGATTAAAAACACATGAGAGAAAACAAGTAATATGTGTAATAAGTAGTTTTTATTTTAAAAAAGCGAGATAACATAATGTTCATGTACAAGATAATAATAATAATAATAATAATAGATATAACTTAACCATTTCAACTTATGTTTTAAAAAAAAAAAACGAGGAAAGCATTCTATTAATTCGAGTCAGCGTGAAAATGAAATGACTAATATTTTGAGCATTATCAAATGAACACAATAAGTAAAATTAACAAATCATGAATCAATTCTAATTAGGGACATAGCCGTCTTCACAATGGTCAAATATTTTGTCTTCATCTTCATCATACCTTGACTGAAATAGCCCACTTTCTAGTTAAACAGTATGTGATTTGATTGGATTGTACGCCAGCGAATAAAACCAATCAGAGCCCTCAATTTCATGCATTATTATTTTTTCTAAAAACTTTCTGTCGCGGGCAATGATTGACTGTATTCTTAGCGTACAATCCAATCAAAATGCTGCATTCACAAACGTGCGTGAAACAAGAAAGGTGGCCATTGTAGTCAAGGTATTAGATGAAGATGTAATATCTTGACATTGTGAAGATAGGACATAGTCTGGGTTAGATTTGATGAAGTTAACTTCCCATTTTGGAGCAAAATTTTAATCAAATGCGGACATAAAAACAAAACTTTATGTCGTCTCAGAGTTATTCGAACACTATACCCTGATGAATTAGAATTATGATTAAAAAAAATAAAACCAGATAGGCGGATGTTCTACATGTATACAGCTTTAACTAAAATATCTTGTAACAAGAAAGGGCTTGGGGATATTTCATTGAGTTTATATGGAGAAATACAGTAATATTTTTGTATAAAAAAATAAATGGACAAATCAAATTTAAGGAAATAAGCTAATTAAAAAATTAATGTAAAATATAATTTTATGACTTGGCAGGGTCTAGGCTCTGGGGCGACAAACTTATTTTTTTCATACTTGGCTGAGATTTTACTCAAATTTGAAGCAGGTATTACAGATGATAAGTGATTGTATCAAGGAAAAAAATATATCAATCTATTCCTTACGGAAAAATGTTTCTGGCATTGTCACAATAATCTTCAAATTTTACCTTTTCTTGAAGCGAAGGACATCATAAATTTGAGTAAAAACTGGAACCAGAATACCAAAGTCATCTTTTGTCCATCTTCATAATGTCAAGGTATAAGAGGGAGTAATACCTTGATATTGTGAAGATGTTATACATCAATCTATCAAGAAATTGACCTCTGAAAATCTATGAAATCTATATTTACAAATTATTTCCCATGAGTAAGCATTATTATACAGAAAACAGGAAATTTGCAAAATTCAAAATATTGCAATTGTGGAATATATACACTAATATTTTTTAAATACGTTGTTGTTTAAAAAATACTAAAACCTAATTAAAATAAAGAAAATTAAAGAGATTATATTAGACAAGAACAAAATCATAAGAATTCAAAATATTGGTAGCTTTAAGTTGATATTAATTGCAAGTAGAAATTTCTAAAATTAAGCCAGTGTGCTTGTGTTCTACCTACATCCCCTTAATCTTTATTGAACTCTTCTACACATGCATTGTCCCATTCAATATGATATCTAAAGGACAGTTCATTTCAGCACTAAGGGCAGTTTAAATTCCATCAATTAATTTGTAATGTGAGAAAACTACATTTTAAGTTAAAAATTGTTACTCTAAAACAAGAAACAAGTCCTAATCTAACTTTATACAAATCTTCTACAATTTTGGATCTAAAGAACTGTGAAATTCATAAATTATTTGATGAATGCAAATTTTATTGTGCCACCTATAAAATGTTGAATATTAAAAATAGTGGAATAGAAATGATTTTACGAATGATATGCTAAAAGATGTAGGTTTTTGAATCACTGAGAAAGTTTCGTCTAAGACGTTCAGCGGATTTTATCCAAATGATTAATTTGACAACAAAAACATACAAATGAATTTTTGAAAATTATTTAAAAGTTTAGATGAGTCTAATTGTTTCGAGCAAACGAAAAATAAAAAATTATGGTCTTAATTATTACAGAATATACATATAATACACCTGTTAAATATTTCTATTGTTATATTTTAAAAAATACTAAAAAAAATGATTTTACATTAGTCGGAACTAAACTAAAATTATATTGCATATGAATAAATCTTTTTATTTTATCCAGCATTTCAATGTCCCAGTAAATAAAAAGTCAGTAAGCAATATGCTGAACAAACTAAAAAAGAATACATAAAGAAAGGTGAGGTCGGAACACCCGTTAATTTATATCGTATATTGTTCTGTTTTTTCTAAAAACTAACTAAACTTTACTACTCTAATCAACACTTTGATATTAACAATTCTTGCTTCAGACCTGGGCCAGTGCTTATATTTCACTTTAACCACACCATCAGTGATGCTAGTTACTTAATTCAGACTGCAGACCTTAGACAGCAGACTGTGATAACACTCTGAAACTGGATTTGTCAGCATCACTTTTGGATATTAATTTGATACATTAGTTTACATTTAGTTACTATTAACATTATCAATAAGAGAATAATCAAAATGATACACTAATCTTATTGGTTAATAAAAAGATAATGAATTATTGTTGAAGGATCAAAATAAAATGTCTAATTTGCACAACCAAAGTATGTGAATTGTATATTATTTATTGTATTATTTTATAGCAAAATTCATCAATTCAGTAATCTAGATGTCTAATAAAACTTAAAAACTAATTCTAACTATTAAATATTGGAAGATTAGTCACTTTAAATTTCATGAAATTGGCCTCATTTCTAATCTCATTGCTCATGGATTTTCATGGAGGCCGATTAACAGCTAAATTAAAACATACTTATATATATCAGGGGCCGTTAAAAGTGCAGAATTTAATAATTACATGTCTTTCGTAAAAGTTATGCTAAATTATATGATACAGGGGTATGCTGCTAGAAACATCCTAACTATATCATATTAAGCTCTCTGATTGGTCAAAACAATGACTATTTAAATATCAACCAATCAAGAGGGATACAAAGTTGGGATGTTTCTAGAACTGGACTCACAATCGCAGAAATCACATTAACGATGTTTGATGGAATCACAATTAGGCGTCGTATGCTGGGGGAGGGGCTGAAGGGATTGCAGGGGGTGGTCTCCTATTATCCCACGTATAATAAGGGTAAGCTGGTGTCCATTGTGTCTGCCCGGATGTATGTTCATCATCGTGCTCATCACGAATATTCGCTCCACCAAAAACACAATCTTCATACGCTGGCGGAGCTGGAATTACAAAATGGCGGTTTAGAAACAAAGTCATCATAATGAAATCTTCCAAGAAGCCTGATTGGTTAAATAAAGTATGACCTTGACTGAATATAGATTATCAACGAAATTAATTGTCACCACTATTGGTGAATTCAATTCTTACTTCTCATTCAAAATATTGGAACATCCGTGGCAAGCTAGCAATAAATGCTCAAGACAAAACCAAAACAAAGGTCCATTAAGAAAAATCTATAAATTTGCTTGCATAATGTGAGGTTGAAAAAATTTCTTGCAAGAAAATCGAAGTAAATACTTACGTTCAATATACGGTGGTGGCTCCATTGGAGGCGCTGAAGCTGGGTTATCAAGGGAAGGAACTCCTATAGCAGGATAGGAAGGCAGAGGATTTGCTTGATGTAAGGGAATGGTACCAATGACTATTTCTCGCTCTATTTGTACAGACGACCAATTCACTGGCACTGTTAACTGAAATACAGAAAAAAGGAGATTCAAACCAAGATATTAATTCTGACTTTCAACATTGAAGGCACCTCTAGAAGACCTGATGCCGATGTGTCACTTGATTTATCAACTCGCTTTCAACATGAGGCGAAATATATACTTTTGATTTGTCAACTGGCCAAGTGAAATATATACTTTTGATTTCCCGGCTGGGCAAGTGAAATATATACTTTTGATTTGTCAACTGGCCACGTGAAATATATACTTTGATTTCCCGACTGGCCAAGTGAAATATATACTTTTTATTTGTCAACTGGCCACGTGAAATATATACTTTTGATTTCCCAGCTGGCCAAGTGAAATATATACTTTTGATTTCCCGGCTGGCCAAGTGAAATATATATACTTACAAGAACTGCATATTTGACATCAATAATTCCACACCCGTCCAGTTTGCTTGGCGGCAGGGCAGGGATGAGCACAGATTGACTGATTTGATCTGTCTTATGGGATCTGATCTGTTTTTGAAGATGTAGTAAAGGAAAGGTGTCGTTCTTTATGTGAATTTTGGGATTTCCTGATGAAAACACACTAGAAGAATATCCTGTATAGGTCACATCCTAAAATACAGAAAAAATAGAATATGATTAGCCCAATGGACAGTTTTCTGAAACAATACTTACTACGGTGATTGAGATTTTTCAAGATTCACTCTAGGGTAAGAAAGGGTGCTCATTGTATACTGAAACTTGAAGTTTGTATTGCAGCCATTTCATTGGATTGCACACTAGCGAAAAAAACCAAACAGAGCTCCCTACAGAAAGTCTGTAAACAATAAGTCATAATGTTTACAGTCTGCCTGTTGAAGGCTTTGACACCGTATATTCTGATAACTTTAAAAAGTATCATTGGTTGTGTTTTATTATTCAGTTCGACTTATTCTTAGCTTATAATACTTGGAGTAGTTTGAGGTTTTCAGCCACATTTGTATCGCTGAAAATTGACCTAGGTTTAGTATCTATAGAATCTGGATTTAATGTGGAAAATGTTGAAAACTGTATCAGCAATCAAACAAATATTAAAATTATTACCTGTCTGAGTTCAAGTCGTACGCCATCACAAGAATAATCACTGGCGTTGTTAATATCAATAGTATACACCATCGGCTCACCTGGCACGAAACCTTTTTTATTTAACATTAATTGTACCGAGACAGATCCTCTAGAACAACAACAACCCTCTATATTCTTATTTTCTTCTCCAAACACAGGGAACTAAAATAAACCACAGAAATTATTAGGATATAGTCAGAGAAATATTTTCTTTGCAAGCTATCTGAATATCGTTTAAATATTTGCCTTTCAGCAATAAGAGTTCAATTTCTGTTAGCCTTATTACTTTCCAGTGTCAAAATCTGATGATACTTATCCTAAAATTAATACAAAAAAAGTATAGCGGCAGTTATTCTTCTTCAAAGCCTTAGTTTTAAATAGAAAAGTATAGAGTCGTAATAGCAATAATAACTTCTCAGGGAAATATTGATTAGTTCAGGGCTATGTTTATAAATTAATACAACAGTGAAAAAAAATACTGAATATAGTTAAATTGAAACTCAAATAGAGAAATATGCTTATTCCAGAGCGAAGAAATACCATACTTACAGCTGAGTCTGGTAGACTGTTTAAATCCAAGTGTCGTATCACAGTAAAAGCTCTTTTAGTATTTTCATCAAATTTCCATGGCCTGTCTATCGTAGCTTTACAGAAATATCGTACATATCCTCGTTTTCCTTCGAACGATGACGGCAGCGTGGGACCCAGTCTTATACCAAACTCGTATTCATGGTAACCAGCTGGATGTTCTGTTGCTGAACTACTTGGTTCAGCTGAAATATCAGACAATATATTAAATCATATCCATGTCTCGTCGACTTTTACATGAATTTAACATTGTTGATATAATGGAGTAAACACTCTTTTCTAAAGGTTTTTTCTCGTGGGTGGGACATTAAACGGAGGCTCTGTGTGGTACAGGCTGTGCAAGTTGGAAATCAAAAAGAGTAGACAAATGCTGCCATCCTGCAAAAATAACCATAAATAAGCCCAATAAGGTGCAGAAGTGTAGGACGTAAAACTCGATTCATAATACCTTGACATTGTGAAGATGATGTAGAGAAGGCTAAAATCCTTGTAAGTGAAGCTTTTATTTAAGACTGAAGATTACGACTGAAATTTTTAAAAGGATCAGTTTTTGTTTAAAAGACTGAAGATTGAGACCTACCTCCACCGTACAAAACTAATGTCGAATTTATGTACGTTTCATTTGCTCTGTAATCTGTTTTACTTCGGCCATGTTTCACCTCCCAATGTGATTTTCCCTTCCCTTCAAAATATATCTTGATAGCTGAAATATAAATAATACACTTGACAATTAGCTTAGCATTAGAAGAAGTCAGGGTAACGAATGAATTTCTATAATGTGATCTTAGCTTTTAAATCATTAATCCTTCACCCTTTGACCCTTTGAACCCTGAGTGTAAATGAAGTAAAATGTCATAAACCCTGAACTCCAAGTAATATAAGTTAAATCGTACGACGTTAACAATGTATGATGTCACTTAGTAACGATGTATGATGTCACTTAGTAACGATGTATGATGTCACTTAGTAACGATGTATGATGTCACTTAGTAACGCCTGCTTGAGTACCGGTATATGGCATATGTGTGTGGCAGGTAAACCGACCGCTAGGTTTGAAAGGGTTAAGAGACATTCAGGGGTCCAGATCACATTTAATAACGGAACACAATTTTTAGTATACTACATTAATTTTATTGTAGATGTTTCAACAATCTACATTGTCAACATTAGGTGAAATCCTTCAAGTCATTAACCCCAACTCATCATTATTGTATCACTTAGAACAGTAGGATGTAAACTTCATATAATAACATTGTAACTTTAAATACAGTATCAATTTACTAAATAACTTCCTCCATTTCAAAATTATCGAGTTTCAACAACAGAAATTAACAATGTAGAACTTACTCCTCATTTTCATGGGCTGCCTGAGGTTGATACAAACTTTTCCTTTGACCTCATCTCCTACACAAAACACCCCTCGCTGATTCTCAAAAAATTGAATTTTAAAATCTTCTAGCTTCATCCTGATGTATTACTGAAATAATTAAAGTTAGTTCAATTATAAGAGGAAAGAAGTAAAGGGGGCCTCAACTCACGATAATCAAAATAATAAAGGTGTCCTCGGGCCGAATGCAACTGGCAGAATCTGACCCGAGAATCTCAGCATTGATGTGAAAGTCTGAAGAAAAAAAATCGCTGAATTTGGTGACCTAGAGTCCACAGACGATTAAAAAATCACAGTAGTTGCCTGTTATCATAAATCACTCATTCTACTTTCTATAAAAAAACTGCATCTAATTGTTACACCTTTACAGTTGGGATCTATAAATATCCAGTTGATCACTGTTACCAATAGAATGTCACTTTAAAACACCAACTGAAGGATACCGGTCCTTTTTTAGATTAGAAAAGTTTGTGAAGTTTTTTTTGTGTTATCATTGGTAATAGACTATCAATTTAGAAATTTCCATTAATATTTCAAATATAATATATCATTATCATTTGTGTACCTGGGGCAAGAGCAATGAAACCTAGATACTATCAGCTTAAATTATGTACCACCGGTAGGGTACAACTTAACAATTTCCACTGTCTTAAGTTACCTGAAGGCATGATACAAATCGAGTTTTAAAAGATGATAGATCTAGCTCATAATTTCAAGTAAGCATATACAATAATTATACAATAAAATATACTGATGTAGAAATGTAGAATAAGCAATTTTGTTAATTCGGCAAACATTAGTCAATAACATTAACAATTAGTGGGAAAATGTTGATGATTGTCAAGGGATATATTTGTGGTATAATATTTCCTCTATATAATGTCAAAGTGCTATAAGCATGGTTAAAGTGATACTACTTATTAGAATGAACATAAAATTTAAGTTCTCAAGATTGGTCAATATGCGTATATTTTCATCAGTATATGACCTGGTGTCATAAAGTTACAACAGAATCCCTGTAAAATCTGGAAAATTGGAAAATTCATATAACTAAGTAATTATTGAAAAACACTTAACGTTAATATTAAGCGTTTTTCAAAGGTAAATTGTATAATTACTAGGTTTTTTGGACTTATTGGATTATATAAGGATCCTGTTATTTTATTTATGATACCAGGTATATCTACTGATGAATAAGCTTATAAGCTCTTATTAGCCAAGTTGAAAATTCTTAAATTTTATGTTCATTCTAAGATGTAGTATCCCTTTAAGTAACAGTCCAGACAACTCTGTATTGTTTTATAGAGCATTTCCTCTGTTACATAACCTGGTGATGTCAGATAAAACTAATGGTTTAACTATCTTCATACCAGAAGTTCTAAGCAAGCGAAATTTCAGAGAATTTATCAGAGAAACATAAGAAGACCCTATTCCTCTTTAACATTTAAAAAATAAGTCACTTTAAAAGCATTTCCTTCCTCAAAAGGAAACTCCCTTCCTCTGCACGTAATTAGGACATAGTTAAATAATTGAACAGACGAACTCTAAAATCGTGTCACGTCTCGGGCCTATTTTTGGAGCGGACCAAAGGATAGAATTTTACGCCACACAAGCGACAACTTGCAGCACAGGATTCGCAGACGTGAAAGAAAAGTTTTCCTAAATGTCTCACCTTCAGCATATTAGATTATGGACATAAAGTCGCCTCAATTTCAAACATTTTAACAAGAATCCGTGATATTTAGACGATTTGTCACCATTTTGACATTTTACTTCCGTTCAATAAACTGTTAGAGGTTACGTCCCTTTACTCATTCAGGACTATTCGTTCTTTTCTCAATTTTGACAGCTGATCTATCAAAATCTCTAGATGCCGAATTTAATTCCATGTATTTGGATTAAGCGCTGCTTTCGTCAAATTGGATTTAGTGCTGCTTATGCGCAAAGTGTTGAAGCGAATTCTTTGGCAATTCATATTTATTTAGCTATTTTTATCTACTATAATATTAGGTATTTGGTGTGATCAATTCGCATTGACTCTGATCAAATTCTAGAGAAATTGAATAGGAATGTCTGTTTCAAATACCGTATATTTGCGATTGTCAATGCGCAGTTTTTACCCCAAAAGGACTTGCCAAATTTGAGGGCCACATTATGGACAGTGAGCAAATATTTCAAATTTCATCAGGGTTTCTCAGTCATAAAAGGATAAAGGGTTTGACTAGATCCCTGTTTCCAAGAAGTTTGAGGAAGGGGGCGTGGTTTGGACACAATGTCAACTGTCATACAAGAGTTAATATATTTTATTTTAATATTCGTAATGATAAAACAATTAACTTTAACAATAAAAAAGCAAAATAAAATCTTATATTAGCGACTAGAATATTACTTTACATTTAAAAGCATGTAAGAATCTTTAAAATAATACTAAAAGTTCAGACAAATTTGGATTTACCATTAATATAACAAGTCAAAAAAACATAACAAAAAAGGTTTTTTTAATCAAATAAACATAAACTAAAAAGAAAAACAACTTTTAGTTAATTTACTAAAAATTTACAGAAAAATTGAGTAAATTGAGAAAAATTTTGATGACAAATGTTAATGATTTACTCTAAATTTATAAAAAAAAAACCATTAAAAAATTTAATTGTCAAATTGTAAACAACTACAAAGTTACTTTACATTTTCAGGTTATAAGTTAAAACTGAAAAAATCTGTGAAGATAACCAACTTGAGCAATTCAGGGAGCATCATATACAAACTAAATGAAAAAATATGAAGGTCTTATCTAAACTGATTTGATCCCTCAACGGAAGTCAGTTTTGAATGGACAAATCGGTTAATAGCTTTAGATATTATATATGACTGAACCAAACCTTCAAAAAACCCCAAAATAAACTTACAATGAATTTTGATCATAGGATTGTTTTAAGTAAAATTATTTGATTAGCCAACAGGAATCCAACTCACAGAGTTGTATAGCTTCAAAAATTCTCATCACATGTAAGATCCATAAAAAAAAACCAAAAAAACAAACAATTTGTAAAAATGGAATACTATTAACTACATTATGCACATTATGACGACTGACAAATAAACACAATTTATATATAAAAAACCAATGAGGTTTATAAATGTACAGGGGGATATAAGTTAATATATTTTCCTTGCTTTTGGCATACACAATACATACATACATATAGCAAACAGCCTGAAATTTTATAAACAGTCAAATGTGCGTTCAGTAAGAAAATAAAGTTTCAAAAGCACACAATATTATTAGTAAGTATAACCACCAATCACAACAACAATACACGTAAGTTTTTATATAAAAAAGTTGGTCAAGGATAATTATGCACATGCAGGCTATCTTCTAGAACAGTTAAATAATGTGAACATGTTTCTATTTATAACTCTTCACTCTAATACTGGTACACCAGATCTGCGTTATTGACATATAAACAAACATTGATCATAGATTAAAAATAAAAGTTAATTTCATCTGTTTAGATTAGCTAGGGTTATAACCATCTTTAACCTTCTATAAATATCTATACTATAACAAATTCTTGATTATTTAAAAAAAATACAATAATCACTGTACAAAATTATACAATTTGATCAAAATTGAGATTCACAAAAGTTAGAGCCAGCTAAAATATTCACGGCTGATATATAATGACGGTGATAAAAAACATATCCTTTTTTTTTTGAAAATTTAGAATTTGTAATTTTGATTCAGACTCATTGTGAAATTGTTTTTGTCTACATAATTTTAATATAGATGAGAAATTGTGACCGCAAGAATCTTTTCAAAAACTTTTTTAATCATCTTAATATTTCCACCATTTAAAAAAGAAAACAAAGCTACAGCCATTGAAAATTGATGAATTATAAAACATTAAGTAACATGGTCAATATGAATGATCCTTTGTAAATAAAAACATCTTAAAGGGATTGTAAAGAGTTTTTGTCATGTTTTATGCGTATCGGGGACACTGATAGCTTCAATTTACACTGTTCCAATTTTCAACGCTACTATTGACGTCATAAAATGTAGTTTTAGTTGAATTGCAAGAACCACAGACGTCAGAATGAAAATTGGAATGGTACAAATTAATGCTATTAGTGTCCCCGTTACACATAAAAAATTTAGAAAACCTCTTTACAATCCCTTGATGGTTGATGGTGCCCTATTTTATATAGTTTAAAGCGTTCATGATTAGAATATTATCCAAGCTCTTTATGAACACAGATGTATCACTAAATTAACAAGTGGAGATCACACACTAAAAAGGGCATGATAGAGATGATTCTTTCTCCTTGTAGAGTTATACAATTACTCCAAAAAAAGTGAGAGGGCTATCCAAATTGGAGGCAGAGATGGATTCAGCTCTTCTGCAAGAATAAGCATAACATAAATTGTCGATTTCAATTCAATGAAGGATATTGGTTTTAATCTAAGAAAGTCTCTTCCTATCTCTAAATCCATATTATCTACACTTGATGCAAAAATTTCTGTCAGCTATGATTTCAAAGCAGCAGTTTCTCAGTTGCAAACAAAGCAAGTTAATTCAGCACCATCAGTCAAACCATGTTCTCAAAAAACATGCACCATTTTCTTGCAGTTTTTGTCAGTGTAGATTTATGACTTCGATGAAAAATATTCGCGAAATTATTTAACAACAGTCACTATGGATACGCCATTGTTTCTTGATTGGAAGTTGATGGCTGAACTGTAACAGCTTGTGATTGGCCAGCAGAATTGAGCATCGGGTATGATGGCGTGTATTTCAAAGCATTGTGGGAAGGGCTATTTTTATCCTCGGATGTCACCATTCGACCAAAAACACATTCTTCATATGATGGTGGGGCTGAAAAATAAACAACAGTTTTAAAAAGCCCCTGCTTCTTACCCTTGGATACGTGTGCCTGGGAGACGCAATGACATCACAGTAGTGTCTTATAATATTAAAGATGGATTCAGTAAGATATTACATGTCTCTGTCAAAAACATTGGTTGAAGTATTCACTCGTTTTACAATGCCTATGGTGGACAATGGATATGAGGGTTGTCTACTGTAGGAAAGAGGGACTAAGAGTACAAAAAGTTGGGTCCCATACACACATCATAAAAAACTTACCGTCAGGATAAGGGGGATGAATATGACTGGGAGAAACAATACTGGATGCTGATTGCGCAATAGTTCTAGGGTCACCAGGTCTGATTATTGCTCCACGGACTATATTCTCTCGGAGCGGAATTGTTCCTATGGTTACAAACATACTACAGCTCACTGGTTGGTGACCAATACTTAACTAAAAGATATATACACATAAGTTATCTTCCATGATATATGAAATATGTAAATTGAAATGTACGAGAAGTGCTATGGAAAAGAGTTTTACTTTTCTGCTCCTTAAAACCTGACTTAATATAAACTTGATGCATACATTTTTGAAAACACATTTGTGGAAAGGATGTAGCACATTGCATTGTGTAAGCTTATAAAATATCATTTGCTTGGTTGAGTCGAATGAATAGTGGTCGGGTGTTCTAATCTCTGTCTGTGTGTGAAAAATCTCATTATTCTAATCAACCCAGCTGTAAATGAGTACAGATAATCCTAGAAAGATCAATACAGGGCTGTTGATTTGGACATGACCGACGGGACTGTTAAAATGGCCGACGGTCAATATCCTCTATCGGACATCAAGTATAGGTTAGCTATTACATGGCTTTCAATGTCTGTCAAATGCAAAATTTAATGACAACTCTAATGAATTATAAAGCCAAGAGGTTTTGATATCAAATAAGAGAATTTATAAACTTACACTAAGTTCATACTCTATACTCATAATACTGCAGCATTCTAATTTAGATGGTGGCATGGCCGGTAACATCACAGACTCTTTGATTGACGTAAATTTCCGACTTTCCACCAAGTTATTCGAGGAATATAACTCAATAGGTGTTGTTTTGGTGTAGTATTTCGGTTGCCCCGATGAAAATAAACTATCACTATAACCTGTATATGTTACATTCTGAAAGATTGAAAAATTTGTACATAGACCAATATATTAGGAAGTCTGTAGCCTACTGTTGGAAGAGGCTAGTGAATTCTGATCAGAGATGTGGATTTGACGATATTTGCAGACATGACCAGTAGCCGTTGGACCTCAAGTATAGGTTAGCCATGGAGCTCATGAAGACTGGAACCTAAATGCAGTGTACAATGAGGGAATTTGTTTTTTATTAAGATACGATTTTCAACTTGCACACACCCTCTAATTGCAACAATGGAGTAAAATCCTGGACCTTCAAGATAGCAATATGTCTATCATGTTGCTATGTATCTAATCTACAAACCTGTAGTAGCTCTAGTACGATGTTACCAATAGAATTCTGGGTATTATTATGACATTCGATAGTAAATCGTATCTGTTCGCCCGGTACGAAGCCACATTTCTCCGTTTTTAACTGAATAAAAACTAATCCTGATTCACAACAACAATCTTCTGTCATTTCTTCCTTCTGCACACATCCTGGTTCCTGGAAAATATATAAATCTCAAACTTTATCATTGTAGTGGCTCAAATTGATTTTAGTATATAAACCAAGACTAATACCTAAAAGTATACCGGTAATCAAGTTGATTGATAAGACGCATTTCTCATAAGATTTAACATTAGTTTTGAAAAAATCAAAAAAAATCAGACTTTTCATTACAGATCTTTTCAACAATTTGAAAAGGAAAATGGTATCTGTTTCTTGACAAAATTTTGCAAAAAAATTCAGATGTCAGGATCTAATAATCAATTCATTCATTCACAATTCCAACATAAAATTTCTAAAAATTTTTACCTTAGCAGTATGTATAGTGTTTAAATCTAGGGGGTGTATTACAGTAAATGTTTTTTCAATTTGTTCAGCTTCTTTATACTTCCCTTCTATTTCAACACGACACATGTATCTAATATGTCCCTTCCGCCCTTCGAACGACGAGGGGATCTCTGTGGGGAGGTTGATAGAGAAGGGGTAGGTGTAAGTTCCAGCATTTAATTTTACAAAGGCACCACCTGAAATTAGATTTGAATATAATTAATTATGAGATTTTGATTGGATTTTGAAGTGCTAAGAGCCTTTTCATAGAGGGTTTCATATTAAACACTAATTAACTTCCCTATCATGTCTAGAATGTAGAACTGAGATCAAGTTAAATATTTTTTTCAGAAATGGTGCCCATTTTATTTGAAGATTTTTGACATACATCAAGAAAAGGGTTTCATATTTGCCTCTAGCATTTGAAAGAAAAAGACTTAATACATCATTTCTTATTTTAACAACATCACAGTTTGTCAACTTCTAATCCTTTTGCTATTTCTTCGGTCCTCAATGTTCAAGGAAAATTTGTCCATCCTGAACTAAAAGCAGCCAAGTCTGACTACATACCTCCTGAATATAATGATCTAACATCATCAATATAGATTTCTTTAGCTTTATAAGTTTTACTAGAATCACTCTGATACACTTCCCATTTTGACTTTCCTCGTCCTTCTATAGTCAAATATATACCTAAAATACGAATAATATATATTTCTTCTATCATTTTATACATTCATGAATACCAAAGTTGAAGCTTGCTGTAGGTGTAGGGGCTTGTGGATATGTCTGTCCTTACACATAAATTATTAATTGTGGCTTTATTCTTTATATTTAAAGCTAAGGAGCCCTAATGTATTTTGACAATAGGAATGTTGTTTTGGCTGCACCTGCCAGTCACGTCTAATACTCAATGATATCTGCTTGTCTGTATCTAAAGTCTAAGTAGCATTTCTGAATCAAAATTTCATGCCAGTTTTTCACCATTGAATATTTTGCATGTGTAACTTTTTTTATGCCGTATAATGCAGCACATTTTACCTTTCATTGTAATACCAGAGCTGACTCTAAGATGAACTTTTCCTTCCAGTTTTTCTCCAGCCATAAACACACCATCAACTCTGTCTAAAGTTATCACAAAATAATCCACCTTCATTTCTGCAATAAGAAATACTGGTTCCAGTAAAATTAGCTCTGTAGATAGTAGTGGGTAATGTTGAGATGCAAAACTAAGACAGATCTGAAGTTTTACAGTACATCAGTAGCAACATTCACAGTAACATATAATATTTGATCTCGAAAGCTAGTAGGCCTACGTAAAGCTAAAGGTTGAAGAACCTAAGCAGAATATGAAAAATATTTTTCAATGAAAGAAAATAGGGGAATTTATTACCAAAACTATCACTCAAAGAATTCTCAATAACTAGTTAGACTTTCTTTAGAATAACTGAATCATAATTCATCAGATGTAATGAAGTCACATTGCATAAAATAAAACAGAATGTAGAGCAAAATGATGTCAAAATTCGGTGTCTGTTTCCATGATCTGTTGGTAGTGATCTGTCTATAATACAGAATAATGTTTAGGTAACTACCCTACACATTGAGCATGCACACATGTGAATGTGAATATCATAGGAAGATACCTACCAAATGCCTGCAATAATGCTATCTGTCAAAAAAAAGATCTGTGGATTTATAAAAATGAAAGTTCACTCACTTGATTTTGTTGAATTTTGCCAATTATCCGAATTTTAAATGTCAGTCATCTTTAGATCTCATCATAAACATTCAACCTTTGCAAAAAATAAGGCTACATCTTTGTAAAAAATCTCGAAAGGCGTAAATTTTGCAGAAATCATGAATTTTCATTGTAGTCTGTCATCTGTCTTCATAATAAATATAAACGACCTTCACCTTGTTGGAGCACCGGGCAGATAACTCTTCTCGATACCTTTAAAATTATCTCCCTTGCAGTAGTAAAGGACTATTTTGACAGACGATTGTTTACAAGAAGGAAACGCATCAGGTAGATAGGCCTAAGGTAATCATTTATTGTTATAATTGGGAAAGGGCTGAGAATAGCTCCAGACTAGAAAGCACTGGCTGTGGTCTCAGAAAATGTTCTTGTCTTTAGTTGGGTCAGTTTGAGTCCCAGCACTTAATCGCAACCAAAACCCAAAAGAAAGCGTTGGAATAGAACATTCAGTTGGCTTGAAATCTAGAGCAACTTATCGCCTAACAGATGACAATTTAACTGAATGAGCTATCCCACTGTTTTAGCAAACGACAATCCAACTTGCTTCTGACTGAGCTATCCTACTGGCCCAGCCCAGGACAATCCAACTTGCTACCGACTGAACTACCCCACTGTTTTAGCAGACGACAATCCAGCTTGCTACCAACTTCAATTCACACTGTTGTAGCCTAACCTTAATGTTTTATGTCCAATTCTGTACTTACATCATTCATGGGCCACATTGCATTTGGAAATGAACTACACAAAAAATTCGTAAAAATAATATGTTTTTATTCGTGAATATAACAAAATAATTTCTCTAACAATCAACAATTAAGTCTATAAAAATATGAAAACATTTGTGCATAGAAATAAAATATAGCCATGTTTCATCAAATTTGTCAACTTGAAGCATAAATAAAGTCAAAGGGCGAAGAATCAGAACCCAAGAATAAAAAGTCCAAGGTCCAAAGTAACCATAGCGATCACCAGATGTTGCAATTAGAATAGAGGTCACAAGATTCACAATTCTCGTGCATCTGAGTTGTGAGTTGTGTTTGGAACCCATGGATATGCATCTGGTGATCAATATGGTTTTAGGTAGGCCTACATTAAGTAAACTATTAGGACCATAAAATAAGAAACAGAGTGGCAAAGGTGAACCAGTATGCTCTTCTTCCCTAGTGGTTAGTGGTCATGTGTGCATATTTTAAAGACATGAGCCATGAAATTCATCAAGTTAAAAATGTTTTTGTGGAACAGTCTACAGGCTTCTGAAGCATCTAACTAAAACTAAAAACTAGTCAAAATAATAACATATTGGAAAAAATAAAAAATATAATTATATTATCCAATTAACTAAATTAATTGCCACAAAAATCATAAAATATTTTGATTTTTAAAATAAAATAATGTAATATAACACTTTTAAATGCATGTAAAGCCAGTTAATAACACTGTGCTAAAAATATATTCCTAACATGTCATATAACAAAATATAACTTAGACCTTGAATTTCCATACCACAATAGTAGAAGATAAAAGTATCAAATTATAAAGTTAAATATTGATTTAGATGTTAGGTTTGATAACATATAATTAAATATAAGGTTGTGAACGAACTTAATTGCATTAAACGATGGATTTCTGCAAAAAAAAATTATAAACAAAATGCATAGATTCATAACAATATCATTAATATAGAACTAGAATAGAATAAACAATATCAGCAGTAAAAGAGATGACAAGTTGAGAAGCTCAATCACGGATATACGAAAACTACGTATGATTCTTACTTCGGAATAACACAGGCACGTAGCTCGCAACCATTTTGAATCTCTTCCTCGACCTAATAAGTCGAATTTTGAAAAAGGCTACAATGTTTCATCAAAGCCTTCAAATCACATTTCAAGCCAAGGTGATTTGAAGAATTAATTGAAATCTGATTCCAAAACACCTATAAATTCAACCGTGTCAATACAAGGCACTCTTAAATCATTCACTCACTCAGTTTGGAATGTAATATTGGTTTAAAAATTTGTCATAAACAGACCATTTTTTTTTTTTTCATTCATGATATTGTCCCCTTGGGCTGAATATTAGACAGGACCATGTCCTAATTTTGACCCATGTAAAATAAAGAGTTTATTATTATAATTGTATTTGCTGGAATGATGATTATGACAGCTCTTGATTAAGATTGTTTGGCACAAATTAGAATCTTATAAAATCGAGGGTCGTTAAAAATCCTGTCAGTTAGACACCATTTCTTCCAATCCCTCATCCTCATCTCCAGCATCGAAACTAGAAGTTAGCTCTTCTTGACGTAAATCTAATCTTTTCACACTCCGGGAATCTTTTAATGCCAACATCACGATATGTTTCTGAAAAAAAAGTTACAGTCGTCATTACATGGCTAACATATTGTTCTATGGTCTAAAGAGATAGCTTCAACTTGCATTCCTGACCATTATGGAACTCAAATTCATCTTCTTATTTTTTGTGTCCATTTTATTTTGGCAAGGAATAGAAGATTCTACGTGGCGTGATAAGAGAAATGAAAGATGGTGTGAATTTACTGTTAAATCTTAAAGTCACATCCAAAATTTTGAGACATTCTTTGATTGATACTCAAGTTTCTGGCTCATATATTTCAATTAGTGATTTGATACCCTCTTTTCTTCGACTTTGAAACATTTTATTAACAAAAACATTCTAAAAAGTTTTACCTCATCATCATACTGAAAGATCCTGCCGTCAACGATAGGTGCTAGATGGGGTTTCTCTATCTCAGCATCATGGATACTCTGTTGTCGTACCAATGTTTTATTGATGGAGTCAGAACTCTCCTGTTTACTCACTATAATATCTTCTTTCCTGTCAAAAATAGGAAATATTTCAGTCCTCAGAAAGAAATAGCATTTCATTTGCATTTGATACTACTAATATTATTGTGGAGTAGTATTTCTAATGGGACATGATGCATATCTTGATTCTTGAGCAACTCAAATGTCTGAATTGTGAAAAATCGTCTGTAATTTTGATACAAAAATAACAACTTTGTTGTGAATTGATAAAAATCTGTATTCTTTTTATAAAGACACAAGAGAGAAATACAATCCTCTGAAGACCACAAATACAGTTATTCAAAAACCACACGTCTGTCCGTACATTGAAAAAAGCAACCAAAAAATAGTCTTTCAGGAAAAATCATAAAAAGAAGTAGAAAATCCTAGAAAACTTACTTGACAAGACACAGTAGACTTTGTTTATGGCCTGATCTACATTCTTTATTACCTAGTAATATCTGAACTGATTCAAAATGATTCTGAACACACGTAGATATCGTCGGACAATTCTCTGTGCTAACCTAAAACATAATAGACTTTCACAATATAAAGGTTGAAATTACTACCCCAACCACTCTTCTCTCAAGATAAGGAATTCACATTCAGCTGTTACAGTGGCTTCCACAGGTTGACTGCAGCTTTGTTCTGAAGAAAAGCACCCCTAGGAGCTGTAAGCAGTGTGGAATGAGATATGATGGTTGAGCCTAACGTGTTTATAGGTTTTCAATATCATAAGGGGTTGTCATGGTGATATCACAAGTGTGCATAGCAATAAAGAAAAGTTTTCATGGTTTATGATTATTTTAATTCAATAAGAACCTCTACATTAAAATTATAATGAGTAGCTAAAGGTATACCTTACCAATATTGGACAATCTTTAAACATAGTATAATCATCTTTTCCATTCGCAATATATTCTTTGGTACACAACCTGTATGTCTGAAATATGATTTTTTATAGTACTGGCACAATATGACGTCACAATATGATTTTTTGGCATGATATATCAGTGAATCGGTGTATCACAATACCAAATGTCACGATACGCATATCGTATCGCAAGATCATGTATCGATACTTGACCATACCTCTAATTCCATAGAAGGTTGTGATGTTTTATTGTTAGGCAATTGAATTACAAATTTTTTTGACTGACTTGACTAAAATTGCTAAACTCTAACCTCTCCCATCAGTTACATTACCAAACATCACAGTTACAAAGTATGTTAAAAAATATATTATATTTAAACTTTGAAGAAAAAGTGTTATTTTATCCCATTACTCCATATCCCAATACCTACTGTATCATGACCATTGCATCACGATATGTATAGGCGACACCTAGCACTGATATTTTGGAGGGATCAAAAAGGTGCATTATTTAATCATACTTATGCCATTAGACTGTTTTTTTTCTTCCTGGACTACACACCCCCTCCAATGTGAATTAATAAATTAAGATTTACCTTCTCTAGATCGATATACTGGTCTTGAATCTGAACTAGAGCAGGGTCAACACGATGACCTTTCGCTTTACTTGGGTCAAATCCAAACCTACAACCAGCTACTTGTGGAAAACGACCTTCTAGTTTGGGATATTGAGATACACCATTTTCTAACGCTTGCACTATCTGCTTGCCTGAAATAAATAAAGGAATCATCTGATTGACTGATTTTCCAAGAGGGTAATATTTCTCACTTTTCTAGAGAATTTATTTTGCAAACTGGGTCATTATTCTTCAAAACCTAAGTTATGTAAAATCCAGATTTTAAGAAATACAGTAATCTGATTGGATAAAACAACTAAATGTAAAATCGCTTTTAGTGATTGACCAATCAGATTACTGGAACACTAAAATCATCTTAAGTTAAGTTTTCAAGAATAAGGCCCCTGATATCATGAAATAAACAGACAATTAATGAATGAAAGTATGTGATATTGATAATTGTTAATTCGACATTGTTTTACAGTTCCAATGTATGTTGGAATACACAGAGTAAACTGTAGATATAAATATTTCTAAAACTGACATGTGAAGGAAACTATTCTAGGCCCAAAAGATATGTTAGATGGCCCAGATTGTTGAAGATCCTACAGTATTACTGTATATTCTTATGCCATTAAGTACTGTAACATTCCTACCTACCTGTACATTGTATGACCAGCATATTATCTAACAATGGAAGAATAGTTAACAGATCTCGGATCTTAAATTCTCCACGAGGATGAATTCGATCAGATCTAAATGTTCCTGAGTTTAATATCGTCATATCAGCATTCGTAGCTGTTAGAATTATATCAGTTACAAAATTTCCTGGAAAATAATTATGAAATTATAAAAAAATATGGCCACATCAGTTGAAATATAAAATGCATAACACAATTGTTATTTTCATTATAAAAAAAATTCGTTTAAAAAAATTCCATCGAAATATCAAGCTAATAATTTAAGTTAAAAGAAGTTTTACCTAAATTAGTTTCCTGAGTTCTGATTTTAGAGAACCTGCCGTCCAGTTCCACCATCATATCACCTAACTTATTATCCATTTTATCATCTACTAGAGCTACAAATCAAAACAAAACAAAACATAACAAAACAAAACTAAATGAAACAAAATGAAATGAAATGAAACAAAATGAAATGAAATGAAACAAAACGAAATGAAATACGAAATGAAATACAAAATGAAATACGAAATGAAATCGAAATGAAATACAAATATAAAAAATAAAACGAAATGAAATGGCAGCCCTCATCATAGCCAGATTAATAAACAAACCAAGTACTATCTGAACCGTGAAACAAAACCCGAAATCCAAAAACAACACATTGGAGAATCATTGGTAGCAGCTGATAGATTTCTAACATGAGTAAGTATTTCATAATGAAAAGTGGTATCAGGTGTCTTGAAGTGTAATCATACCCTGCCTATCGCCATGGTTACACATATTACTACTTGTGAAAATGTTTTTACCTAATTTAGCCATAACCAGTTCTCTAATCACAGGATCTTCCTTCACTGACGAATCCAGTTCAACTTCTTTGATATCAAACTTCCATTTTCCATTCTCATCTTTCGTTACATGAATATGACTTAAATTACGGAAATCTGTTCCACTCTTGACTATATATGTACCGTTTATCTATAAGGAATTCAACAGAGATGAGTTTTACAGCCCAACTAAGAAAACTTGAACCGTTTACCTATAAAATTGAACATATACTAATAGCTTGAAACTCTGAGTATCAACATGATTCCAAACATGACTGAGATCTTATCAATATATACATACATATCAAGTTTCGTTAAGATTGGATAAAAACTGTAATCTTTATCATGGCTATAAGAAATGTGGCAGACGGGGACAATATCAATATACATTCACATTTCCATGTGGGCGTATTAAAATTCAAGAGAACCATACCTGTTGTACATTATAATCATGATCATGGCCTCCCAGTATAATATCTATATCTTCAACTTCTTCTGCTAATCTTATATCATTCGGCCATCTCATGTGAGTTAACGCTATCACAATATCTGCTCCCTGAAATAACACAATAGTATCAGACGTTATCAGAAGCAATTTGAGGATTAAAGGGAGATAATCTTTAGACTTGAAAGTAGCTTATCTTGATTATCAATCTTAAACACTATAAAGATTAAAGATTAAGGGGTCGTTCAATTGGCGAGTTCAGCACATTCGGGATTCATGGAATTCAATAAAACAAGTTGGAATATAGATAAGAAGGTAGGGGGGACAAGTAAATAGACCAACCTGAGTTCTGAGTGAATGTGCTATCTGTCTCCCACTTTCAACATAATCTTTGAATGTTACATCTTCAGGATCTATTGTGGCTAGAGTCACTATCCATTCCTCTTCAACTAGTCCCATAAGACCTATCTATACAAACAATTACATCAATATCATGGGTTATTGCTAGGGCTTGGTAAAATAACTACAACAATTGATTATCGTCTCACAATTATCCATGATCACATCTCTCGAAATTGGCAACTTCAGCAAAGCTCAAAAAAATGAAAGATTCTTATAGTGTTGAAGATAATGTTTTTTCCTTACCTTAATACCATTTGAAACAATGACTTGACTTATTTCAGCATAAGCTAAAGGTTCATTTGTTAAGTTATCAATTACGTTGCTCAGTAGCCATGGAAACAACGTATCAGCTAATAAATCTTCTAGATGATCCACACCAAAATCTTAAAAATAATAAACATAGGACAATAAATGAAAAAATTGCACTGATATTTCTGCAGGGGAAAAGCTGTCAATTAATGGTGTGGGCACACAAACGGTCTTGGTCGACCATATTTCTTGTCAAGAGTTTCACCAACCAGCATGGGCACATGAGGAGACAAAAATCTCCAGTTGGCCTTTTTCCACCATGCCGGTAATCACATGTAGAGCATGTAATTGAAAGGAAAATGAATCTGATTGGATGATGACAATCTGTCTTGAAGGCAATAAAACTATCATAGACAATCAAACTTGTTTGATATTATAAATCCTGTAAGGAAAGCAATAATCTTGTGGAGAAAGCACATACAAGATTTTACTCAAGATTCCAGTCGGTGACAAAAAACGCTGATCAAGACCGTTCACACAGGGATTTCATGATAGAAAAGTTAAGTCTTACCAAAGTCGTGGTTTCCAAATACAGCACATTTTACTCCTACTCCATTTAAAACTGGTATCATTTGTTCTCCTTTTAAAAATATACTCACTGAAAGTAGATCATGAGATAACAAATTGAGATTTAGAGTTTTATATCCTATTGTTCTGTACCTTATTGGACTAATGAAATGAAACAGAGTTTTATATCCTATTGTTCTGTACCTTATTGGACTAATGAAATATAGTTTTATATCCTATTATTCTGTACCTTATTGGACTAATGAAATGATATGAAATTTTCAACCTACGTCTAGAAGTCCATTTTCAATCAAAAAAATATAAAACTTACTGAGAGAAGGACTAAGAACATCTCCACTGAACAAAACAACAGGATCGTCACAGGATTTAATATACCAAGACAACCTAGCAGCTCCCCCTATAGGCTCCATCGGACACGGCTCAATATTATAAACATCATTAAAATGTATGATGCTAAAGGAAGCCATTACAATCTGCTTATTGAGAAAACATTGGTTGGTCTGGAAACTTCTTAGTTAAATCTTAAAATGAAATTTCAATTCTGAGATAGAAAATGTATTTCAATATCCTTAAAGGGACAGATGTGTCATTTATTTGAACAATCGTCACAGAAACCAGGAATTATTTAGCTAAGCCAATCAGTTATAATGTTTTCAGCTCACCATCGAAATTTGAGCCTTCACATCCATTTTGTGTCAAGAATTATCTGTGTTCGAAATTTAAAAAGACGAGTTGTCTTTTCTTGACACACTGCCATATATAGAAAATACATCTATAGAAATAGGAAAAGAAATTCCTAGTTTGATATATTTTTAAAGGAAGTGTGCCATTTTTCGTACATTTCTAGTACTTCTGACGACTATTTACATATATTCAAGACTCAAACCCCCCAATATGGCCTTAAATTAACTACAAGAGTACAAGACCAACTTTCTGCTGTCTTAGCCCAAACTCTAAAGTCGAAGTAAGGTACGGTAGCTTAAGTTAGTAGGCAAATTGCAAGATCAACTTATTGCTGACAAGGTAGCCTACTCTCTGACTACTCTGTTTCCTGAATTGAAATTTAGGAATCAATTTAAGATCAGTCGATGTGAATGTCAAAAAATAAAAGTTCACTTACCTGATTTTGTTCAATTTTGGCAAATATCCGAATATTAAATGTCAGTCATCTTAAGATCTCATCATAAACGTTCAACCTTTGCAAAATATAAGGCTACATCTTTGAAAAAAACCAAGAAAAGTCATAAAGTTTGCAGAAATCGTAAATTTTCATTTGTCATGTGCCTTCATAATAAATATAAACGACCTTCACCTTGATGGAGCACCGGGCAGATAACTCTACTCAATACCCTTCAAATTATCTCCCTTGTTGCAATAATTTTGACAGACGCTTTTTTGTAAGAAGGAAACACGTCAGGTAGATGGGCGATAATTTTATGTTATAATCGGAAATGAGTGGAAAGAGCTCTAAGTAAGAAAGCACTGGGTGTGGCTTCAGAAATTGTTCTTGTCTTGAGTGGAGATATATCATTTCTATTACTACAGAGAGGATTTTTAAGACTCCCTGAAACTCTGAAGAAATACATGTAGTGTTTTCTTTCTTGCATTCATTGGGATTTACAACCATAGCAACTAATCTCTTAGAAGAAAACATTCTAACTGACTAACTGCCCTATCCCACACTCTTTCGGAGACCATCAAACAATTGAACTATCCTACTGTCCATGCAGACGACAAATCACTTTGTTGCCAAATTCACACTGTTCTGAAACCTAAATGTCGATGTCAACTTTGATAATTCATGGACCATCCAGCATTGAAAAATAATTAAAATAGAATCCAATTTAAAATATAATGATTTATTCTTGAATATAACAAAATAATTTCTCTAACAATCAACAATTTAAGTCTTTAAAAATATGAAAACATTTGTGCATAGAAATAAAAAATAGCCATGTTTCATCAAATTTGTCAAAAGATTTAATGTATAGATTGAAGGATGGATAAAAGTCATAAGGCCTAGAATCAGAACCCAACAACAGAAAATCTCACTCAATAATTGAAATCTTTAAATGGCAGTTAGCAATTGTGAGTTGGATATAGACACAGCTTTATGGAACATCACTCACTGGTTAAAGTTTTATGCAACTTTTCAAAGTGTTTCTACCATGATTGAGAAACGTTCATCGAAACAGCATTAACCAGTGATTGTTGTTCAATAAAGCGAGTGTCTACAATTGTGACAAAACCTT